GGAGGAGGAGGGGAGAGAGGGGGAGAAGAGAGGGAGAGAGAAGAGAAGGGAGGAGGAGAGGGGGGGAGGGGAGAAAGGGGAAGAGGGGGAGGAGAAGGGAGGAAAAGGGGGAGGGATAGGAGGAGGGGAGGAGGAGGGGAGGGGGGAGGAGGGGGAGGGGGAGGGAGAGAGGGGGGGAGAGGGAGGGAGGGGGAGAGGAGAAAAGAGGGGGGGAAAAGGGGGAGGGGGGAAAAGAGGGGAGAGAGAGGGGGGGGGGGAGAGGGAGGAGGAGGGGGGGAGAAAAAGGAGAGAGGAGGAGAGAGGAAGAGAGGGGGGAGAAGGGGGGAGAGAAGAGGGGGGGGGAGAGAGAAGGAGAGAAGGGGGGAGAAGAGAAAGAGAGAAGGGAAGGAGGAAGGAGAAGGAGAGAAAAGAGAAAGGGGGAGAAGAATGAAGGAGGGAGAGAGGAGAGGGGGAGGGGGGGAGGAGAAGGAGAGAGGGGGAGGGGAGGGAGGGGAGGAGAGAGAGAGGGGAGAAAAAGGAGGATGAGGAAGGGAGGGGAGAAAAGGAGAGGGAGAGGAGAGAGAGAGAGGGATGAGGGGAGAGGGGGAGGGGGGAGGGGAGAGAGGAGGGAGAGGGGGAGGGAGGGGAGAAGGAGGGAGGGAGAAAGGGGAGGGGGAGGGGAGAAGATGAAGAGGGAGGAGGGGAGGGAGGAGGGAGGAGGGGGGGGGGAGAGAAGGGAGAGGGAGAGAAGGAGAGGGATGAGAGAGAAAGAGAGAGGAGAGGGAGGAGAGAGGAGAGAGAAGAGAGAGGAGGATGAAGAGAGAGGGGATGGAGAGAGGAGGAGGGATGAGGGGGGAGGAGAGGAGGAAGAAGGGGGGAGAGGGGGGAGGGAGAGAAAAAGAGAGAGAAGGAGAGCGGAGGAGAGGATGAGAAAAGAAAGGGAAGAGGAGAGGGAGGGGGGGGGAGGAGGAAAAGGAGAGGAAGGAGATGAGGAGGAGGGGAGGGAGAAAAGAGAAAGATGAGCGAGGAGAGGGGATGAGAGGAAGGGAGAAAGATGAGCGAGGAGGGGGGAGAAAAAGAGGGAAAGATGAGGAGGAGGGGGATGAGCGAGGAGAGGGGAGGAGGATGGAGGAGAGGGATGAGCGAGGAGAGGGATGAGGGGGGGAGGGAGGGATGAGGAGGAGGGGGGATGAGCGAGGAGAGGGATGAGAAAAGGAGAAAGATGAGCGAGGAGGAGGGATGAGAAAAAAGAGAAAGATGAGCGAGGAGAGGGAGGGAGGGAGAGAAAGAGAGAAAGATGAGCGTGGAGAGGGATGAGAAAAAGAGAAAGATGAGCGAGAGGAGAGGGATGAGAAAGAGAGGGGATGAGAGAGGAGAGAGAGAGATGGGAGCGAGGAGAGGGAGAAAGAGAAAGATGAGCGAGGAGAGGGATGAGAAAAAGAGAAAGATGAGCGAGGAGAGGGATGAGAAAAATGAGCGAGGAGGGGGATGAGAAAAAGAGAAAGATGAGCGAGGAGGGGGATGAGAAAAAGAGAAAGATGAGCGAGGAGAGGGATGAGCGAGGAGAGGGATGAGCGAGGAGAGGGATGAGCGAGGAGAGGGATGAGCGAGGAGAGGGATGAGCGAGGAGAGGGATGAGCGAGGAGAGGGATGAGCGAACAGAAAAACAGAGGGTAAACGGAGAAGTGAGTAAATGAATAAAGCAAGGAGAGGAAGCAAAGAGTTGAGGGTGGGATATATAGTTCCTATAAAACGTATTCACCTCCTCGGGAACTATATTGTCAAAGAACATTAAATGAAAAGGAATATTTTGTTTTGTTGACTGATCAGGAGAAATGGATTTCTGCAAAGTGATTCAAATTAATTACACTGAAAAAAAAAAGCCAATTCTTTTTGAAAATAAAAAAGTAAAAAAAATAGTGTATAGTCGGGGGGCGTCATGTAACTGGATTGTCAATACACGTGTGCCTGGAGGTCCGACCTCTGAGGGGTCAGTATCGTGGCATAACCTGCACTGTAAATAGAAAAGAACACTCCAAAAACTTTGTGAAAAAGGTACAGATAAAATCAGTAATTTAGGAATGGGAAACGTATGGCATTAACTGTAAACCTTTCAATAACAGACTATCACAAAAAGGGGGGACTAGTGAGGAAGGTCATGATGAGAGGAGAGGTCACCATGAAGGAGACTAGCGAGGGAGGCCCCGTGAAGGAGACTAGCGAGGGGAGCCACCGTGAAGGAGACTAGCGAGGGAGGCCACCGTGAAGGAGACTAGCGAGGGAGGCCACCGTGAAGGAGACTAGCGAGGGAGGCCACCGTGAAGGAGACTAGCGAGGGAGGCCACCGTGAAGGAGACTAGCGAGGGAGGCCACCGTGAAGGAGTGAAGGAGAGACTAGCGAGGGAGGCCACCGTGAAGGAGACTAGCGAGGGAGGCCACCGTGAAGGAGACTAGCGAGGGAGGCCACCGTGAAGGAACCGTGAAGGAGACTAGCGAGGGAGGCCACCGAGAAGGGAGGACCAGGAAGCGAGGGAGGCCACCAGGAAGGAGACTAGCGAGGGAGGCCACCATGAAGGAGACTAGCGAGGGAGGCCACCATGAAGGAGGCTAGTGAGGGAAGCCACCATGAAGGAGACTAGTGAGGGAGGCCACCATGAAGGAGACTAGTGAGGGAGGCCACCATGAAGGAGACTAGTGAGGGAGGCCACCAGGAAGGAGACTAGTGAGGGAGGCCACCAGGAAGGAGACTAGTGAGGAAGGACACTTAGTGAAGGAGGACACCAGGAAAGAGACTTTGTGAAGGAGGCCACCAGGAAGGACACTTAGTGAAGGAAATCACCAGGAAGGAGACTAGTGAAGGAGGCCAACACGCAGACAACTAGTAGGGGAGGCAACCAAGGGGAAGACTAGTGAAGAAGACCACCAAGGAGACTAGGGAGGCTGGACACCAGGAAGAAAACTAGTGAGAAAGGCCACCAAAAAAGTGGTAAGGGATAATACCACGGAGGAGACTAGTGAGGGAAGCCACTGAGAAGACATTAGTGAGAGGCCACCAAAAGACATATGACCATTCTGAAGGAATTACAGGTGTCAGTGATTTAAGAGACTGGGGGTTATTTACTAAAACTGGAGAGTGCAAAATCTGATGCAGCTCTGCATAGAAACCAATCAGCTTCCAGGTTTTATTGCCAAAGCTTCATTGAACAAGCTGAGGTTAGAAGTTGAGTGGCTGCCATGCACAACGGTACAAGATGGAGTGCTCCAGTTATAGTAAATCTCCTCCTATGTATACAATAACATAACTAAAACTCACATTGCATATCACTTTCAGTTTCCCAGCAGGCACCTGTGAACCCATAAAGGTTTTGTGGCCCAAGTAGGTCACTCACCAGTCCCAGGCAACCTGACAGGGCTAGAGCAGTTGTACAGTAATGGCGTCGAGTTGCCGTGTCAATATGTTTAAATCTGACAGAGAACTCTACACTCCAGGATGGATTTACTACCAAAGGCTCATCTGCAAAATTTGGACCAGAAGGGTGTGTACACTTATGCTTTGAGTCGTTATTCATTTTATCGCTGTAATTAGCATGAATTCGCTGTGCAGAAATCTAGTCATACTTTAATCAACAGCAATAAACTCTTTCAAATTAATGTAAAAAAAAAAAGTTCTACAACAATAAAACATTTACTATTTATAAGATGTTACAAAGAAAAAGGCAACACAACGATCCTGAAATATATAAAATAAGATTGCACAGTTCAGGAGAGACAAGAAAATCATGAAAAGTGATGAAGAGGGAGAAGAAAGCAAATTGATTGCAGTAAATGCCAGGAAAAAGGAAGGCCAAAATATTGTACAAGGAAAGTGAACTAGAACTATGGAATAAGGAGCACAGAGGATGGACAGGATGGGGGGCAAGGGGCCAGAAAGAAGCAAAGAGCATGGGCAGGATGGGAGGCTAGAGATGCTAGTGAGGAAAACAGAGGATGGGAGGCTAGAGCACCAGAATGGAGCAAAGAGAAATGAGGATGGGAGGCCAGGATAGAGTAAGGAGAACAGAGGATGGGCAGGGATGGAGGGCTAGAGGCAAGGAAAGGCATAAGGAGCACAGATAATTAACATGATGGGTAGCAATAGGCTAGGGTGGCGAAATGAGAACAGAAGATGGACAGGATGGGAAGAAAGAGACCATGATGGAGTGGGAAGAAAGAGACCATGATGGAGTGGGAAGAAAGAGACCATGATGGAGTAAGAAGAAAAGAGGATGGACAGGATGGAGGGGTAGAGGCCAGGGTGGAGTGCGAAGGACAGAGGATGGTAACTAAAAAAAACATGACGGAGTAAAGAACATAGAGGATGAACAAGATGGGAGGTTACAGGCCATGATAGAGTAAGAAGCACACAGAATGGGAGGCTAGAGGTCAGAAAGGAGTAAACAGCACAGAGGATGGGCAGGGTTGGAGGATAAAGGACATCATGGAATAAGAAAAAAAAAAAAAAAAAAAAAAAGGAGGATGGGAGGGTTGAGGCCAGGAAGTAGCAATGCACCACACAGGATAACAGAATATGATGGCAGAGTCCAGGAAAGAGAAAGGAGCACAGAGAATGAACAGAATGAGAGGGTAGAGGACAAAGGTGTAGAGAGACTAGTGGATGGACCGGATGGGTGGTTGGTGGTTAGAGGCCAGGATGGAGCAAAGAGCATGGACAGGATGAGAGACTCCAGGCTAGAATGGATTAAGAAGCACAGAGGATGTACAAGATGGGAAGCCAGAGTCCAGGATGGGGTAAGGAGCACAAAAAATAGGAGACTAGGAGCCCAGAAGGATTAAAGAGCACGGAGAATGTACAGGAGGGGAGCCTAGAGGCCAAAAAGACAGAAAGGGCACAGAGGGCGTGCAAGATGGGAGGCTGGAGGCCATGATGGAGTAAAGAGCACAGATGATGGACAGGATGAGTGGCTAGATGCCAGAATGGAGTAAAGAGCATATATGTGGTACATGGCAGGGATTGCAGTCTCTTACTCTGAGGCTCCAGGGATGGCAGCTTTTTCTGGAACATTGGAGTCCTTTGTTGGGTTGTCATCTGGCTGGGAAAGGTATCCGACTCGGAAGTCCTATGTGAAACAGATTGGGTTTGCTGCCATGTGTTGTTATAGAATACCAGGCAGACAAAGTCATGACTCCTCATCAGCTGAGATTAAAACAAAAGAAGCCTTGTCCCCTAATCCGGGGAGCCACCATCTCACCTGGGTGGAGTGCTGCAAGATGCCGCTCAGTCTCTCCTGCACTCTCCTCACCAGTTCCAACGCACTGTTATAGTTCTCAGAGTTCAGCAGGCGCACAGAACAGGCCAGGTCCTCACTTTGAAGTAGGCAGAACTCTGCACAACGACCAGAAGATCCACATCACACAACCGGCAAACCAGATTTGACCCCAAGGTGTTCACAGCCCCACCTCCCAGTTAAGTCTTACGCACATTGCGGTAAGAACTTCCTTACCAATCAGAATCTGCAGCGCGTTGACATGGTACTCCAAATTCTCAGTCTGGGCCTCCAGAACATCGAGGCGCTCTGAATCCTGATTGTAGTAACTGTAGACACAAGCATAACCAAGAACCTGCAAGACACCGTGCCAAATATTCTGCGTTATACAGTGAACAACCCACCAAGCTACAGCTGTATTATACAGAAAGCAACTGACCATACCATAATCCTAATCTACAGAGAGGGGACAATCATAGCCATATGATGCAGAGAGGAACCCACCATACTACAGCTCTAGGGATCATGTCCCTTTATAAGATCTGTCCTCGGAGGGAGTATCCTGAACCTTTTCCAGTCTCGCTATCCTGAACCTTTTCCAGTCTCGCTATCCTGAACCTTTTCCAGTCTCGCTATCCTGAACCTTGTCCAGTCTCGCTATCCTGAACCTTTTCCAGTCTCGCTATCCTGAACCTTTTCCAGTCTCGCTATCCTGAACCTTTTCCATGCCTCAGTTTCTTGCAAGCAGCAACAAGATCATGAAGACAATGCCCTAAGTGTGCAGTATGGCTGGAAGAATGGCCATCACCTAGGTGAATACTAAGGATGCAGAACACAGGCCAAACTGCTGGGCCACAAAGTGGAAGCACAGAGCGCCCACAGCAAAGTGGAGGAATCGCTGTTGTGCTGGAAAAATTGGAAAAAGCAGATAGGCATCCTTATAGGATTGTCGACAGAGGTCAGATAGTCTCAATGATGGAGAAAAGCCATGACTGACCTGGGGCACTTCATGTAAAGTGTGTGGGTCCTAATGAAGACAATTATGGTCATGAAATCCATAGAGGGGTGGATGCCCCACTTGGTGTGGGAATGGCGAATAGGTTGCAGTAAACCTGGAACCATTCCACCACAGAAGCTGGGGCAATCATTGACTCCTTCACAAGTTCTGGTTGGGCTGCATGGAGATCTTGTCTGTGCAGTGATATAGGCAGTTTGTGAGTATTGAAACCAGGAAGGGATCTGAGTGCAAATTTCTTGCTTGTAGACTCCCCTGGAAACCACCTTTTGCAAGCATTTTGAGAAATGGACGTTGTCTAAGTGTCTGAAAAGCCTGAACAGACTGTCCGTCTGCCTCACTTTTTAAAGGTGGGGGGCACCCTTAATACTGAAGATTTATCTGAGGTTTGGGGGTCTTGGGTTCCAGACTTGGGTTTAGGTTGGCCATACACTATACAAGTTTCTGTCCAATTTCCTTTAGATTTACCTTCAACTATGTAGCACAGGGGCCTGCCTAATTAGATACAATTGAAAGTGTTGTTAGGTTTGGCCTCATATTATATGGTTTTAAGTAAATCTAAAGTAAATTTCTCAAGAAAAGTGTATAATGTATAGCTAGCCTTAGTGTTGGCTTTAGAAATAGAGGCCTGAGGGTAACAAAATGGACTCTTCATGGCCTCCCTTGAGGAATAGGTCTTCCCACACTGAACCCTAGGCTCTCTCCAATTTTAAGGCATTCCTCAACACATCAATAAGAGTAATCAGGAGACATCAGGTGTAGGTTCATCCATCAGAGACTTGGGAGACTCAGTATTAGAGGCTCAGAGGCTGCAGGCAGATCAGAAAGAGATTCTACAAGGGAAGGCTATCAGTGTGCTATTTGCCCATAAAGTCTTGCTTGACTGCAGAGAAGTCCATACCTCACTGCACCCAGCATGCAAGAGTGTCACTTGATAATGTATATAATAAATTCTACTTGTTTAGGATGGTGGGAAACCTCAACTGAGAGGGGTTTGCAGGCTGCCATGTTGAGCTCTGATTCTGAAGGTTTCCTCGGAAAAAGCAAAAGGAATCGGCTATGCCGGAAGGAGCCAAGGATTGCATAGATTCTAGCAGAGGGCGTCCAGCACCTCATATGGGACACTGTAGGCAGTGATGTGGTGTGTATTGCATCAATAAGAGGCATGATAGTCTCATAGCTTGGGAGTAATAGCAACAGTCAGAAACTCCTTAGGTGTAGATTCTTTTAAGGATTTCAGAGACTCAACATTGGACAGCAGAAGGCTTAGAGGCCACTAATGCTACAGAGAGCAGCTAAGAATTCTCATGGAAGGTTGTGGGAGAACGCTCATGACCTCTGTGGTCAGTGTCAGCAAAGTTGCAATTTGGCCCACAAAATCCTACATAACTGCAATTAATCCTCCTGGGCTAAAACTGGGCTTTGAAAGACTGAGTACGGCACAGACTCAAGCAGAGGACACAATTGGCAGCAGGAAGCACCAGAATTAATAGTGGATTGTGAAATGTAGGCACCCTTATTATTATTATACAGTATTTATAAAGCGCCAATAGTTCGCTCAGCGCTGTACATTACAAAGGGGGACAGAACATGTGACAGAACAATACCAATACAATGCAAAACATGAGGGGATCGAGGGCCCTGCTCTTTCGAGCTTACAATCTAGGAGGGAGGGGATGGTGGCACAGGAGGAGATAGCTGTGGGGGATGGAGTGGTAGGAAGAGTGGAGGAGGTCGGCAAGTTAGCAGGGGGTGGTGTAGGCTTCCCTGAAGAGATGGGTTTTCAGGGTGCGCCTAAAGGAGAGGAAAGTAGGTGATAATCTGATGGGTTGGGGCAGGGAGTTCCAGAGGATGGGTGACACCCTGGAGAAGTCCTGGAGGCGGCATGGGAGGAGGAGACCAGGGAACTAGAGAGAAGGAGGTCTTGTGAGGAGCGGAGTGTGCGTGTTGGGCGGTACTTGGATATTAGGTCAGTGATGTAGTTCGGGGCAGTATGGTGGACAGCTTTGTACGGCAGTGTTAGGATTTTGAATTTGATCCGTTGTGCAATCGGAAGCCAGTGGAGGGATTGGCAGAGGGGGGTGGCGGAAACGGAGCGGGACTGTTCCTCTTGTAGCTAGGTTCTGACATATCCCACCATAAGGCAGGTGCAATGTAGCTCAGGGTACAAGGCAGCTCAGGGTACAAGGCTAGGCCTTGAATACTCAAAAAACTGGTTGATGGTATCAGGAGAGGTTCATTTAGCTAGACGACAACCAGGTCACTGTAGGCGGGCAACAGAGATGAACTGAGGATGGATTGATGTTTCATTTGCAGTCATGAGCAGCAGTGGGGGCAGGTGCCTCCTCAATGCTGAATAGCAGGAAAGTGGGGGCAGAGCACACGACACTCCGCGCAGCAGATGAAGTAAGTACTCAATCAGATCAAAATCTCTGTAAATCCCCAAAGAAAAGTAAAAAACTTTCACCTTGAAAGTGCAAATATCATAAACCTTTTCTATAACCTTCCCCTCACCTCAAATCCTACCCCTCATTCTCAAAAATGTCCATAATAAAGTCCAAAATTCAAAAGTCCAAAAATAGTCCACACTCTCCAATCTTTCAACTGTGAAAATATCCGATTCTTCACTCCAATCCAAAATACCTCAAAAAAATAAACTAAATATAGTGCATTATCTTTCACACTATAATAGTAAGTGATATCATGCAAAAAAACACTAGTGATGTAAAATATAATATGAACAATATTAAAATCAACACGTGAAGTAGAAATCCACACAACTCCACTAGTGATCTTGTGAAATAATCACTCCAATTTGTATTTGTAGCATTTCACGAATTGGAGTGATTATTTCACAAGATCACTAGTGGAGTTGTGTGGATTTCTACTTCACGTGTTGATTTTAATATTGTTCATATTATACTTTACATCACTAGTGTTTTTTTGCATGATATCACTTACTATTATAGTGTGAAAGATAATGCACTATATTTAGTTTATTTTTTTGAGGTATTTTGGATTGGAGTGAAGAATCGGATATTTTCACAGTTGGAAGATTGGAGAGTGTGGACTATTTTTGGATTTTTGAATTTTGGACTTTATTATGGACATTTTTGAGAATGAGGGGTAGGATTTGAGGTGAGGGGAAGGTTATAGAAAAAGGTTTATAAAGTCAGTACTCAGTCCCTCTTGTTTTAGCCACAACAAAAAGTGGGGATTTTAATGGTGCCCAATGGTCCTAATAAAGTGGTAGCTCCCAGTGCTCAACCTGCACGGCCTACTCACAAAGTGAATCTTCAGAGATGGAGCCACACCTGGGGTTGTGCCAAAACTCCGGGACAGGAAAGTGCTCCATGGCTAACACAGTACTTTCGGCTTTGGAAAGCACAACAATGCAGAGCTGTCCAAAGCCCGAAAGTCACAATCCAAGCTACCCCCACAAAAGTCGAAGTCCAGCAGGGTCCAGGGGACAGCCTCTAAAATGACTGCCGAAGAAACATCGTTCTGGATAGGTGCAGTATAAAACGCAAGCAGAAAACGTAGAGGTTTGTTGAAAAAAAAAAAAAAAAGTAATCTTGAATGAAGAAAAAAAATGGCAGACTTTTCTCAGCATCATCCTCCTGTACACTGGCAAAACGTGAAGCATGCTGGGAAGTAGGAAATGTTATATTGGACTGGCCACAATCTCTTTGGTGACAGTGTCCACGTCCTCCTGCAGGCCTGTAGTTGACAGTATACACCGACAGTCTGAATTTCTGCAAACGCTGAATGAACACGAATTGAATTACATTTTTCTTTATGGGTTTGGATAAAACGAATTAGAGGCGCTTGTAGAAGCCGCACTCAGCTGCTTTCTTGGATTCGAACAGAATGTGTTGTGCTGAGGTTGAACTTACAGAACAAACTTTCATTTCTGAATTAACCACTTCCTGTCCGGCCCATGTACATAAACGGCCGGGTGGGGGCAGTGCAGGAGCGGGTTGCCGTTCATAAACGGCGCCCGCATTTTCAGCGGCACCGCGATCCGGTACACCGATCGCTGAATGGGACCTCTGTGTCAGGTCCCGATCATGTGATCATTGATTGGCCAATCAGTGATCACATGAATAGTAGTAAGCAATATGTCACTTCCTGACATCATTGCTTACTACTAGTGAAATCTGTGAATGATCAGAGATCTCATGGTACAGGGCCATTCTCATCTCCCCCATTGTGACAGCTGCTATCTCGGAGGTGAATGGAGAGGTTGCGGGCAGCCCCATGAACAAGGTCGGCTCCCAGTCATTCTGTGCGTGCTGCATGCTGCAAGTTCATTCATAGAGGGAGATGGTGAAGAGGTAGAAAGTGAAAGTAAAAGTCTTCTCAGTGAAGTGAGGATCAGGACGCTCTGCTTTAGGTACCATGTGTGGCCTCAGGGGGAAGAAGTAAAGCTGTGCCTGCTGTTTTACTCGGCACTGTGGGTCTCTCTCCCCCAGCACCAACCAGCAACAGTCTGTGGGTCTCTCTCTCTCCCCCCACAAACACCAGTAAAGCTGCTGCTCCCCAGCACTGACCAGCAACAGTCTGTGGGTCTCTCTCTCCCCCCACAAACACCAGTAAAGCTGCTGCTCCCCAGCACTGACCAGCAACAGTCTGTGGGTCTCTCTCACCCCCACAAACACCAGTAAAGCTGCTGCTCCCCAGCACCGACCAACAACAGTCTGTGGGTCTCTCTCACCCCCACAAACACCAGTAAAGCTGCTGCTCCCCAGCACCGACCAGCAACAGTGTGGGTCTCTCTCACCCCCACAAACACCAGTAAAGCTGCTGCTCCCCAGCACCGACCAGCAACAGTCTGTGGGGTCTCTCTCACCCCCCACAAACACCAGTAAAGCTGCTGCTCCCCAGCACCGACCAGCAACAGTCTGTGGGTCTCTCTCCCCCCCACACAAACACCAGTAAAGCTGCTGCTCCCCCAGCACCGACCAGCAACAGTCTGTGGGTCTCTCTCCCCCCCACAAACACCAGTAAAGCTGCTGCTCCCCAGCACCGACCAGCAACAGTCTGTGGGTCTCTCTCTCTCCCCCACAAACACCAGTAAAGCTGCTGCTCCCCAGCACCGACCAGCAACAGTCTGTGGGTCTCTCTCACCCCCCACAAACACCAGTAAAGCTGCTGCTCCCCAGCACCGACCAGCAACAGTCTGTGGGTCTCTCTCACCCCCCACAAACACCAGTAAAGCTGCTGCTCCCCAGCACCGACCAGCAACAGTCTGTGGGTCTCTCTCTCCCCCCACAAACACCAGTAAAGCTGCTGCTCCCCAGCACTGACCAGCAACAGTCTGTGGGTCTCTCTCACCCCCCACAAACACCAGTAAAGCTGCTGCTCCCCAGCACTGACCAGCAACAGTCTGTGGGTCTCTCTCCCCCAAACACAAACACCAGTAAAGCTGCTGCTCCCCAGCACCGACCAGCAACAGTCTGTGGGTCTCTCTCACCCCCACAAACACCAGTAAAGCTGCTGCTCCCCAGCACCGACCAGCAACAGTCTGTGGGTCTCTCTCACCCCCCACAAACACCAGTAAAGCTGCTGCTCCCCAGCACCGACCAGCAACAGTCTGTGGGTCTCTCTCACCCCCCACAAACACCAGTAAAGCTGCTGCTCCCCAGCACTGAACAGCAACAGTCTGTGGGTCTCTCTAAATTAAAAAAAGAAATTGGAAAATTATAATTTTTGGCTATAAACTAATTTGGGTTATTTTATTTTTTTTTATAAAAAGATAACTGAATAAATTTTGGCCAAGATTTATGAAGAAAGATTATTTATTTGCAACATTATATATAAGAAAAACACTTTCAAAATTGTTGGACTTTTTCATTTATATAGCAAAAAAAAAAAAAAATTAAAATCCCACTGGTGAATAAATACCACCAAAATAAAGTTTTATCTGTCTCAAAAAAATGCTAAAAAATTCATATGGGTACAGTGTTGCATGACTGCACAATTGTCATTCATGTGACAGCGGTGAAAGCTGAAAATTGGCCTGGACAGGAAGGGGGGGAAAGTGTCCGGACTGGAAGGGGGGGGGAAAGTGTCCGGACTGGAAGGGGGGGGGAAAGTGTCCGGACTGGAAGGGGGGGGGGAAAGTGTCCGGACTGGAAGGGGGGGGGGAAAGTGTCCGGACTGGAAGGGGGGGGGGGAAAGTGTCCGGACTGGAAGGGGGGGGAAAGTGTCCGGACTGGAAGGGGGGGGGAAAGTGTCCGGACTGGAAAGGGGGGGGAAAAGTGTCCGGACTGGAAAGGGGACTGGGAAAGTGTCCGGACTGGAAGGGGGGGAAAGTGTCCGGACTGGAAGGGGGGGGAAAGTGTCCGGACTGGAAGGGGGGGAAAGTGTCCGGACTGGAAGGGGGGGAAAGTGTCCGGACTGGAAGGGGGGGAAAGTGTCCGGACTGGAAGGGGGGGAAAGTGTCCGGACTGGGAAGGGGGGGAAAGTGTCCGGACTGGAAGGGGGGGAAAGTGTCCGGACTGGAAGGGGGGGAAAGTGTCCGGACTGGATGGGGGGGGGAAAGTGTCCGGACTGGAAGGGGGGGGAAAGTGTCCGGACTGGAAGGGGGGGGGAAGTGTCCGGACTGGAAGGGGGGGGGAAGTGTCCGGACTGGAAGGGGGGGGAAGTGTTTGGACTGGAAGGGGGGGGGAAGTGTTTGGACTGGAAGGGGGGGGAAGTGTTTGGACTGGAAGGGGGGGGGAAGTGTCCGGACTGGAAGGGGGGGGAAAGTGTCCGGACTGGAAGGGGGGGGAAGTGTCCGGACTGGAAGGGGGGGGAAGTGTTTGGACTGGAAGGGGGGGGAAGTGTTTGGACTGGAAGGGGGGGGGAAGTGTCCGGACTGGAAGGGGGGGGAAGTGTCCGGACTGGAAGGGGGGGGAAGTGTCCGGACTGGAAGGGGGGGAAGTGTCCGGACTGGAAGGGGGGGAAGTGTCCGGACTGGAAGGGGGGGAAAGTGTCCGGACTGGAAGGGGGGGGGGGGAAGTGTCCGGACTGGAAGGGGGGGAAGTGTCCGGACTGGAAGGGGGGGGAAGTGTCCGGACTGGGGGGGGGGGAAGTGTCCGGACTGGAAGGGGGGGAAGTGTCCGGACTGGAAGGGGGGGAAGTGTCCGGACTGGAAGGGGGGGAAGTGCCCGGACTGGAAGGGGGGGGAAGTGTCCGGAGTGGAAGGGGGGGAAGTGTCCGGACTGGAAGGGGGGGGGGAAGTGTCCGGACTGGAAGGGGGGGGGGAAGTAAGGGTGGGGTGGGGAAGTGTCCCCCCGGACTGGAAGGGGGGGGGGGGAAGTGTCCGGACTGGAAGGGGGGGGGGGAAGTGTCCGGACTTGAAAAAAAGGGGGGAAAAGTGTCCGGACTGGAAGTGGTTTAAACTGGTTGTAAAGCCTTGATGTTTTTTTTTTTTTAGCTTAACGCATTCTCTGCATTAGGGTAAACCCCCCCCCTCCCCCCCCAGACACTTACCTGAGCCTGTCAGCAATCCAGCGATGTGCCCAGCTGCAGTCTTCTCTCCCCCCGCTCCCTCTTCTCACAGGGACTCAGGCCAATGGCTCCTGCTGCAGTCACTCAAATACTGGGGCTGAGCCGCACTATTTGTCTATAGATGTACACAGCACTGGTCTGGAGTGAGCCCGCACAAGTGTCCCCATAGCAAGCTGTCTTACAATAGGGGCACATAGAAGAGGAGGAGCCTGGAGTGCCAGCAGGGGACCCCAGAAGAGGAGGATCGGGACTTCTCTGTGCCAAACCACTGAACAATGTAGGCAAGACATTATTTCAAGTGAAAAAAAAATATAAACCTTTGCAATCACATAAAAGCCTAAATGTACAGTAAATGACAGTCAGAGAGACGGGAGAGATCCAACGTGAAGCAGTGACACAGCAGACACAAATTCTCACCTTCCGGCTCAACTCTAACACCTTACATGCGGAGATCAGGAAGGTCAGAGTCCGCAGTGGTGGTTCTTCACTAAGAACACAAAGCCGATTCCTCAGACAACTGGCAAATTCCTTCAGGGAGAGAATCAGAGGTATATAAGGCACCTTGTCACCCCATCCAATGGATACTCCCCAGAGAATGAGCCACCGAACTTCTCCCCCCCCCCCCCCCCCCCCAAAGAGGAAGAGAGCCTCACCTTGGCCTGGTGCTGGAAGGTGCATTTTTCATTGTAATCCTGAAACCGTTTCTCCTGACGGGCAGCTCTACTGACCTGTGTGGCAAAAACACAAAACATTGTACATAGTGCACACCGTGTGAGCAGAGAACAGCAATATACAGCACATTATACCGTACATAGTGCACACACACCGTGTGAGCAGAGAACGGCAATACAGCACATTATACCGTACATAGTGCACACCGTGTGAGCAGAGAACGGCAATACAGCACATTATACCGTACATAGTGCACACCGTGTGAGCAGAGAACGGCAATACAGCACATTATACCGTACATAGTGCACACCGTGTGAGCAGAGAACGGCAATACAGCACATTATACCGTACATAGTGCACACCGTGTGAGCAGAGAACGGCAATACAGCACATTATACCGTACATAGTGCACACCGTGTGAGCAGAGAACGGCAATACAGCACATTATACCGTACATAGTGCACACCGTGTGAGCAGAGAAACAGCAATACAGCACATTATACCATACATAGTGCACACCCTGTGAGCAGAGCACATTATACTGTACATAGTACACACTGTGTGAGCAGAGCACGGCAATATAGCGCATTATACAATACATAGTGCACACCGTGTGAGCAGAGAACAGCAATACAGAACATTATACCGTACATAGTGCACACCGTGTGAGCAGAGCACAGCAATACAGCACATTATACCATACACAGGGAACACCATGTGAGCAGAGAACGGCAATACAGCACATTATACCGTACATAGTGCACACCGTGTGAGCAAAGAACGGCAATACAGCACATTATACCGTACATAGTGCACACAGTGTGAGCAGAGAACAGCAATACAGCACATTATACCATACATAATGCACACCGTGTGAGCAGAGAACAGCAAAACAGCACATTTATACCGTACATAGTGCACACCGTGTGAGCAGAGAACAGCAATACAGCACATTATACCATACATAGTGCACACCGTGTGAGCAGAGAACAGCAAAACAGCACATTATACCATACACAGGGAACACCGTCTGACCAGAGCACGGCATACAGCACATTAAACATGCAGCACACCATCCACACGGCACATTATAACTTGGGCACACTGTTTGGGCAGCGCACAGCACATGTGGCACACTGTCCTGGCAGCACACTGTACACCATCCAAACAGTACAGTATACATGTGACATACAATCTGGGCAACATATATATATATATATATATATATAACCTTTTTGTGAATTATGTGTGAAAATCACATTGTGATTTTCACGGGGTGATTATTTTTGTTTATTAAGGTAATGCACTAGATTTTATATTTTTTTTTACTTTGAGGTGCGTTTTGGATGGAATAGGAGTCAATCCTTCTATTGGATGAAAAGAGTTGAAAATTTGGGATCTTTTTTTGGACACTATTTTGGACTTTCCTTTTGGCCATTTTTTGATTTGTTGGACTTTATTGTACACTGTATGTTTTAATTAATTTATTTACTTTTCATAATTCACAAAAAGGTTTTATATATGTTATTGCACTTTCTAGGGAGGAAGTATTGACTTTTTGAGGGGTTATAAAGGAGAAGGGTGTATATTGATTGAATCTGGGGAGCACACCACCCAGTTAATTTTACATGGGGCACACCAACCTGACAGCACATGCATTCACACGGTCTCCTGTCTGCACCATCAACACAACACAAAATACCTGGGGCACATTGTCTGAGCAAACACATGGGACACCATCCACACACCACATTGTTCAGACAGCACACTGTCTACACTACGCAGGATACATGCGGGCACACCATCTGGGCAGCATATGGCACCCAACACTTTAAACAAGGGGCACACCATCCACACAGCAATTATACATGGAGCATACCTTTCGGGAAGGACATGGCCCGCTGTCTACAAAGCCCATTATACACTTGGCATACTGTCCACACAGCATATCATCCAGGCAACACACTGTCTACACAGCCCAACATGCATGAGGCATACCATCCGGATGGCATGTGGCACACTGCCCACACAGCACATTATACTAGGGATACACCGAAATTTCGGCTGAACACAGCTCTCTCATCATTTTGCCCGAACAAAAAATTTCCCCAGTACAGGTGCCAATACAGCAGACTGTGTGTATTGCAGATGTGGGGGGGGGGGGGGCTGAGAAAGGCAGGAGAGGAGCAGTGTATACAGTGACTGGCTGTCAGTATAGGTCAGTGCCGGTTTATAAGTGAAATTACCGGCTTTTTTTTTTATTTTCCTTCACTATAGCTCAGAGAATCAGCTGTCACTCCCCCCCCCCCCCCCAGCTAAAAGAAACAAAATTTCCTTTCAGTTTATTTCCGGAGATAAAAGAAACAAAGTTTCCTTTCAGTTTATTTCCGGAGATAAAAGAAACAAAGTTTCCTTTCAGTTTATTTCCGGAGATAAAAGAAACAAAGTTTCCTTTTAGTTTATTTCCAGAGATAAAAGAAACAAAGTTTCCTTTTAGTTTATTTCCAGAGATAAAAGAAACAAAGTTTCCTTTTAGTTTATTTCCGGAGATAAAAGAAACAAAGTTTCCTTTTAGTTTATTTCTGGAGATAAAAGAAACAAAGTTTCATTTTAGTTTATTTCCGGAGATAAAAGAAACAAAGTTTCCTTTAGCTCCTGGGAGAGTGACAGCTAATTCTGTGAGTTATAGTGAAGAGAAAAAAAAAAAAAAAAAAAAAGGCCGGTGATTGCATTTAAAAACTGGTACTGACCTATAGTGACAGCCAATGAGGGACCCTCTCTGTATACACTGCTCCTCTCCTTGCACACACTGCCCCCCTCCCCCCTTCAAAGATGGCCTGTCACTCATATGCTATCACATAGGGGACTATTGGTCCCCTATGTAATAGCAATAAAATCATAAGTGTAAAAAATAAATAAAAATATACATGAAAGTAGAAATAAAAACAACAATAAAAAAAAATGGAGCCTCCCCACCCCCACAGAGACAGAAATTTCGGTTTCGGTTCAGTTCTCGGCCACATGCATTGTGAATTTTCGGCACCAGAATTTTAATTTCAGTGCACCACTACATTACACGTTTCACAGAATCCTGGCAGCACAACACCCACACATGGTCTATTGTCTGCACCGTCAGATAACTCCGTATCCATCAGACGCACTACACACGGAAAGGACATGTGAACGTCAAACAGCGACAGGTGAGGACCGTTCATACCAGAGCCCTATAGGAAAGCTGTACAAAGATGAATCTAACAAAAGCAGATACAGGGCCTTGATGGAGACAGCTGTTGCATGTGCCACAAACCATTCTCTGCCCTTGTTACAGGACACAGGCTATGAGGCACGGGGTGCACCAAGGGTAACCTACCCACAGAAGTGTTTCATTTTCAGTTCTGCGTGGAGCGGATCACACTTACCATAGCAGTGCAGTTGTAGTAATCTTTATGATTTGGCTTCCACGGTTTGAGGCAGCGCCAGCAGAAGCCATGGTTACATTTGGCACACGTCATGCTGTAAGAGGAAGGGGTCACAGATCAGGTCGATGGGACGGCTAGGCGATAGGATTCATAGTACTCATTACTACTTACTGTAGACAGCCCTCGTTTTTCTCAATCGGAGCCTGACAACTCGGACAATGCTTGGAGATGAGTTTAGTCAAGTGCTTGCTCTGAGCTTCCAGGGTCATCCCCTCGTAAAACCCTCCATCGTCCATCCACTGAGACATGTGACTGCAGCTGGCTGGGTAATGAGCCTTTGCAAAGAATGGGAGTGGAACATATCAGACATATATCAGGAAAAGGGACTTGTGAGGTTCTACACATAGAAGGCGTGTAGAGAATACAACACGGTCACAGAGATGGTCAGAATGAGTCGCAAGGTCCTACAGGTAGAATGTGTGTAGAGAATACAACACGGTCACAGAGATGGTCCTTGAATCGCTCAGGAATCCGCAGTGATCATATGACCTGCACTTTAGCAGCCAAAAATGTGTAAGAGGCAAGTTTTTTTCTATAATCTAAGCATAGATTCATTAGTGTTACTAAACCCCCTGAACCTTGCACTCACTACATCCGGCCTCCCCGGACCCGGCGCTCACTACATCCGGCCTCCCCGGACCCGGCGCTCACTACACCCGGCCTCCCCGGACCCGGCGCTCACTACACCCGGCCTCCCCGGACCCGGCGCTCACTACACCCGGCCTCCCAGGACCCGGCGCTCACTCCACCCAACCTCCCCGGGACCCGGCGCTCACTCCACCCGGCCTCCCCGGGACCCGGCGCTCACTCCACCCGGCCTCCCCGGGACCCGGCGCTCACTACACCCGGCCTCCCCGGGACCCGGCGCTCACTACACCCGGCCTCCCCGGGACCCGGCGCTCACTACACCCGGCCTCCCCGGGACCCGGCGCTCACTACACCCGGCCTCCCCGGGACCCGGCGCTCACTACACCCGGCCTCCCCGGGACCCGGCGCTCACTACACCCGGCCTCCCCGGGACCCGGCGCTCACTACATCCACGGCCTCCCCGGGACCCGGCGCTCACTACATCCGGCCTCCCCGGGACCCGGCTCTCACTACATCCGGCTTCCCCGGACCCCGCGCTCACTACATCCGGCCTCCCCGGACCCCGCGCTCACTACATCCGGCTTCCCCGGACCCCGCGCTCACCATATCCGGTCTCCCCAGACCCTGCTTTCACCATATCTGCTCTCCACGGACCCCGCATTCACTATATCTGGTCTCCCCGGACCCCGCATTCACTATATCTGGTCTCCCCGGACCCCGCATTCACTATATCTGGTCTCCCCGGACCCCGCATTCACTATATCTGGTCTCCCCGGACCCTGCATTCACTATATCTGGTCTCCCCAGACCCTGCATTCACTATATCTGGTCTCCCCAGACCCTGCATTCACTATATCCTCTCCCCGGACCCTGCATTCACTATATCCTCTCCCCGGACCCTGCATTCACTATATCCTCTCCCCGGACCCTGCATTCACTATATCCTCTCTCCCCAGACCCTGCATTCACTATATCCGCTCTCCACGGACCCTGCATTCACTATACCTGGTCTCCCCAGACCCTGCATTCACTATATCTGGTCTCCCCGGACCCTGCGTTCACTATATCAGGTCTCCCCGGACCCTGCGTTCACTATATCAGGTCTCCCCGGACCCTGCGTTCACTATATCAGGTCTCCCCGGACCCTGCATTCACTATATCCGCTCTCCCCGGACCCTGCATTCACTATATCTGGTCTCCCACAGTACACGGAAATGCAATTATTTTAGTAAATATAAGCTGCTAAATACCTCATCAGCAGTATATAGCAGTCTTGTGACTTCTATCAGTGTCTGGCCAAGCACTGGTTAATCTTGTAGAAGGAATTTTAATTCTCCTCTGACTGCCCTATGGGGTAGGACACTGCTGCCTGGACAGTGCTGATTGGCCCTGTGCTGATCACATGCACCCCCCCCCCCCCCCAAAAAAAAAAAAAAAAAAAACCTTTCTAGCAATACACACACGACAGAGTATGTGCAGAGTGTCTCCTAGAGTTCTATACTATCAGCAGATGGATTGGGGACAGTAGAAGGGGAGGATCAGAAAAGACAGGATCAAAATAGTTTTACACAATGCAGAGGATTAACCCCTTAGGTTCCACAGTGAGTATCACAAGCACGCTTTACTGCATCTACAGACTGATTGTACTGTTGTGGTTAAAATGTTATTATCCCTGATGTTTACAACTACTGTAATTCTAGACAAGGCCGTTCCTGAATAGACGCTTACCTCTGGAAAGCTGCAGTTAAAGCAGGAAACCCAGGAGCACTTTGCGCAGGCTGCTCCGGTCCCCAGTCCTTCCTTACAAAGGATGCGGTCGCAGCCTTGAGGGTTTGTGCACCAAGTCAGATTGGAGCAGCTTTCCACAAATCCCCGAAGCAAAGCCTTTTCATACTACGGAAAACAAGGAAATAAATGACTGGAGAGCTTTGCTCCGCATAGGAAGGATTCATCACTGAACTAGAAGAGCAGAGCGTCTCACAAGTCAAATGCGGGATCATGTCCCCATGAGACACGTGTACAACACGGGACAAATCTGCTCTCTCTTCACGGGTTTCTTCATACCTTTTGGACCACCTCTTTAGAGGAGATGATTTTGTGGATGAAATCCGAGGTGGGCTGCGCCAGGCAGTCGGTGGTGGGACAGGTGCAGTTCAGTACCAGATTCTGCTCTATCCTCGTGGTGAGATATTCATTCCAGCAGTTCTGCAGATTACACAAAAAACACATTTTCAGTGCATCCTCTTACACCCGAATCTTTTTCCTCTGGGCTAGAAAATGGCATGAAAATATAAGAAAGCTCACCTTGCAGCAGCTGTGTCCACAGCACAGCGATGGGGGGTTGTCTGCTGGGCTTAGGGGGCTCATACAAACAGGGCATATGGGCTGCGGGCTCTCGGAGTGGAGGGGCTCGGGAACTTGCAACCCTGAGCCAATGAGAAGAGCCTCGGAGTCTTCGGTGTACTTCTGCAGCAATAGATCCATGTTCCACTTGAAGTGGATGAGGAGGTGTTGGGCGATATCCTGGGTCATAGTCAGTGTTTCTGATACCTGATTAACCATATGAGCCATCAGGGTCCATACTTCCTCCTGACCCAGAGTGCGACCCATAGGTAGGAGAACAGATTCCAGGACCGTCTGCTCCACCACTCCTCCGGTGCTGAAACAAAACAAGTATAATGGTCACTGAATAATTGGATGACAAAATGTAATACGTAAGAGAATCCAGCCCACACAATAAAAGAAATCTACGTTCCGTCCACAACCAACAATGAGGTACACAGTTGTCGTGCACATCATAGATCCTGAGTGACGTAGTTAGTCTGGCTGAAAAAAAAGACAAAAGTCCATCCAGTTCAACCATAAAAAAACAAAAAAGTTATAATCCTACACCCACAGTTGGTCCAGAGGAAGGCAAAAAACCCAGCAAAGCACGATCCAATTTGCTCCTGCAGTGGAAAAAATTCCTTCCTGATCCCCCGAGAGGCAATCGGATATTCCCTTTTCTATAAATGTTATATCCAGTTATATTCTGTGTATCCAAGAAAGAATCCAGGACTTTCCTACAGCAATCCACTGAGCTGGCCACAACCAACTCTTGAAGGAGTCTATTCCACATTCTCACAGCTCTTACTGTGAAGAAACCTTTCCGTGTTTGGAGATTACATTTCTTTTCCTCCAGACGTAAAGAGCGCCCCCTTGTCCTCTGTGATGACCTCAGGGGGAATAACTCTACACCGAGTTCACTATATCCCCCACTGATGTAATGCATGGAGATCATAATCCCCCTTATGTATTATACATGGAGATCATATCCCCCTTATGTATTATACATGGAGATCATATCCCCCCTTATCCCCCTTATTATACATGGAGATCATATCCCCCTTATGTATTATACATGGAGATCATATCCCCCCTTATGTAACATGGAGATCATATCCCCCACCCTTATGTATTATACATGGAGATCATATCCCCCCTTATGTATTATACATGGAGATCATATCCCCCCTTATGTATTTATACATGGAGATCATATCCCCCCCCATTATGTATTATACATGGAGAGATCATATCCCCCCTTGATGTATTATACATGGAGATCATATCCCCCCTTGATGTATTATCCATTATACATTATCCATGGAGATCATATCCCCCCTTTGTATTATCCATGTATTATACATGGAGATCATATCCCCCCTTGATATATTATACATGGAGATCATATCCCCCTTGATGTATTATCCTTGGGAGATCATATCCCCCCTTGATGTATTATACATGGAGATCATATCCCCCCTTGATGTATTATATCCATGGAGATCATATCCCCCCCCCCCTTATGTATTATACATGGAGATCATATCATCCCCCCCTTATGTATTATACATGGAGAGATCATATCATATCCCCCCTTATGTATTATACGTGGAGATCCCCCATATACATGGAGATCATATATCCCCCCCTTATGTATATACATGGAGATCATACCTTAAGTATGGAGATCATTATGTATTATCCATGGAGATCATATCCCCCCATGGAGATCCCCCCCATGTATTATACATGGAGATCATATCCCCCCCTTATGTATTATACATGAGAGATCATATCCCCCCTTATGTATTATACATGGAGATCATATCCCCCTTATGTATTATATATGGAGATCATATCCCCCCTTATGTATTATACATGGAGATCATATCCCCCCCTTATGTATTATACATGGTGATCATATCCCCCCCCTTATGTATTATACATGGTGATCATATCCCCCCCTTATGTATTATACATGGAGATATCCCCCCTTATGTATATACATGGTGATCATATCCCCCCCTTATGTATTATACATGGTGATCATATCCCCCCTTATGTATTATACATGGAGATCATATCCCCCCTTAATCTCCTCATAGCTGAGCTCCTCCATGCCTCGTATCAGTTTGGTTGCCCTTCTCTGTACTTTCTCCAGTTCCCCAATGTTCTTTTTGTGAATTGGTGCCCAAAACTGAACTGCATATTCCAGATGAGGTCTTACTAATGATTTGTACCAGTGGGGGGGGGGGGGGGGGGGGGGAGATCTCTCTCTCTCTGGAGTCTATACCTCTTTTAATACAAGAGAGGATTTTGCTCTCTTTAGAACCCGCAGCTTGGCATTGCATGCCATTATTAACCTTGTGATCTACCAGAACCCCCAGATCCTTCTCCACCATTGACCCCCCCAGATCCTTCTCCACCATTGACCCCCCCAGTTGTACCCCCCCTAGTATGTATGATGCATGCATATTCTTAGCACCCAAGTGCAGAACCTTACATTTATCAACATTAAATCTCATTTCCCACATAGTTGCCCAATTACACAGAGCATTGAGGTCGGCTTGTAAATTGGAGACATCCTGTAAGGACGTTATTCCACGACACAGCTTGGTGTCATCTGCAAAGACTGAAATGGGATTTTTAATCCCAGACCCTATATTGTTTATTAAAAAGTAAGGGTCCCAACACTGAACCTTAGGGTACCCCACTAATGACTGAACCTTGGGGTACCCCACTAACACTAACCCTTGGGGTACCCCACTGAATAACACTGACCCTTGGGGTACCCCACTAACGCTGAACCTTGGGGTACCCCACTGACAACGCTGAACCTTGGGGTACCCCACTGACAACGCTGAACCTTGGGGTACCCCACTGACAACGCTGAACCTTGGGGTACCCCACTGACAACGCTGAACCTTGGGGTACCCCACTGACAACACTGCTGCACCTTGGGGTACCCCACTGACAACGCTGCACCTTGGGGTACCCCACTGACAACGCTGAACCTTGGGGTACCCCACTGACAACACTGAACCTTCGGGTACCCCACTGACAACGCTGAACCTTGGGGTACACCACTGACAACACTGAACCTTGGGGTACACCACTGACAACACTGAACCTTGGGGTACACCACTGACAACACTGAACCTTGGGGTACACCACTGACAACACTGAACCTTGGGGTACACCACGGATGACCCCAGACCATTCAGAGTATGAATCATTAACCCCTACTCTCTGAATACCGTCTTTTAGCCAGTTTTCTACCCATTTACATACGGATTTTTCCAGCCTGTAGACTGTACCGTACACATTACAGGACGTTATTTCTGAAACGTGAAAATGTTCCCCAGGACAGGCATTTGATCCCCGGGAAGTGGAAACACAACACACATTCCCAGGCACTCTGATAGACAGCTGTACCTGGGGGCCTTGCTGCCAAGATCCTGTTTCTTGCTGGTGGCCTGGAAGCTGATGTGGGCTTTGCTCTTGTGTGGTGTGGATGGATCTTTTGAAAGGTACTCAAGTATATGGGGTCTATCCTCACTGCGTCGCACATAGCCCTGGCTGACGAGGTACATAATACAGGAAAGGACATCAGTGTGGCTGCAGCTGAAGTTCAGAAACTTGAGGCTCTTCCCCAACCTCCAACTTCTGGCACGAGTCGATGACCTGAGAAGAAAAGCATGTTCCAGAGTACTGCTAAGAAAAGTCATAAATCCGTGAACAAATGATAATTAGATTACAAATGAGATATAAAATTTGATTGGTTAAATCAGAGAATTGATTCTGAGGAGTATTCCATCCTAAAGTGACCCTTTCAGGTAAACTGGCTACACAATTGTCCCTGCAGAAGTCAACAGTACTTGCCACTTGAGCTGCCCATGTCACTAATGTTGTTCTGTTAACCCCTTCCAGTCCTCCGGACGCTTTCCCCCCTTCCAGTCCGGACGCTTTCCCCCCCCTTCCAGTCCGGACGCTTCCCCCCCCCCCTTCCAGTCCGGACGCTTTCCCCCCCCCCTTTCCAGTCCGGACGCTTTCCCCCCCCCTTCCAGTCCGGACCGCTTTCCCAGCTCCCCTCCCCTTCCCCCTCCCTTCACTTTCCCCCCCTTCCAGTCCGGACGCTTTCACCCCCTTCCAGTCCGGACGCTTTTCACCCCCCCTTCCAGTCCGGACGCTTTCCCCCCCCCCCCCTTCCAGTCCGGACGCTTCTTACCCCCCCCCCTTCCAGTCCGGACGCTTTCCCCCCCCCCTTCCAGTCCGGACGCTTTCCCCTCCCTTCCAGTCCGGACGCTTTCCCCCCCCCCTTCCAGTCCGGACGCTTTCCCCCCCCCCTTCCAGTCCGGACGCTTTCCCCCCCTTCCAGTCCGGACGCTTTCCCCCCCCCCCTTCCAGTCCGGACGCTTTCCCCCCCCCCTTCCAGTCCGGACGCTTTCCCCCCCCCCCTTCCAGTCCGGACGCTTTCCCCCCCCCTTCCAGTCCGGACGCTTTCCCCCCCCCCTTCCCAGTCCGGACGCTTCCCCCCCCCCCCCCCTTCCAGTCCGGACGCTTTCCCCCCCCCCCTTCCAGTCCGGACGCTTTCCCCCCCCTTCCAGTCCGGACGCTTCCCCCCCCCCCCTTCCAGTCCGGACGCTTTCCCCCCCCCCTTCCAGTCCGGACACTTTCACCCCCTTCCAGTCCGGACACTTTCACCCCCCCCTTCCAGTCCGGACACTTTCACCCCCCCCTTCCAGTCCGGACACTTTCACTCCCCCCCCCTTCCAGTCCGGACACTTTCACCCCCCCCTTCCAGTCCGGACACTTTCACCCCCCCTTCCAGTCCGGACACTTTCTCCCCCCCCTTCCAGTCCGGACACTTTCACCCCCCCCTTCCAGTCCGGACACTTTCACCCCCCCCTTCCAGTCCGGACACTTTCACCCCCCCCCTTCCAGTCCGGACACTTTCACCCCCCCCTTCCAGTCCGGACACTTTCACCCCCCCCTTCCAGTCCGGACACTTTCACCCTCCCTTCCAGTCCGGACACTTTCCCCCCCCCTTCCTGTCCAGGCCAATTTTTAGCTTTCAGAGATATCACACTTTGAATGACAATTGAGCGGTCGTGCAACACTGTACCCATATTAATTTTTTTTTAAATTTTTTTGAGACAGATAAAACTTTATTTTGGTGGTATTTATTCACCGCTGGGATTTTTATTTTTGCTATATAAATGAAAAAGTCCCAAACTATTGAAAAAAAGTGTTTTTCTTACAAAATTTTGCAAATAAATAATATTTCTTCATAAATCTTGGCCAAAATTTATTCAGCTATCTTTTTCATAAAAACAAATGACCCAAATTAGTTTAAAAAAAAACCAAAAATTATAAATTTTTAAAAATTTTAGTTTACATTATTTTATTTTTTTTTAATTTTTTTTTTTTACATACTGTCACCCTAGCAGTACAGTGTCACCATAGTGTCACTGTACTACTTGCGGGGGGTGATTTTTTTTTTTTTTTACACTGATTGCTTTTACACCCATAAAGGCTCCTCCTCTCCTTCTCTCTGGCTGCATTCTTGCAGCCATTGAGAAATACTGTGTGAGCTGTGATTGGTCACAGCTTGTCACATGGTACAAGGCTTTTGTGAATAGCCCTGTACCATGTGACCTCTGTGATCATTCACAGATTTCACACGTAGTAAGCAATGTCAGGAAGTGACATCTTGCTCACTACTCTTCATGTGATCATTTATTGGCCAATCAGTGATCACATGATCGGGACCTCACACAGGAGGTCCCGTACAACGATCAGTGTTCTATTGTGTCCGGAGGACACAGCGGGCACTGGATCGCGATGCTGCGTGCTCCCAGGGAGGACGCACAAGCAGGGAGCGGGGAGGACGTTTATAAACAGCCACCTGCCCCTGCACTGCTCCCGTCTGGCACATGTATATAAACGGCTGGACGGGCGGTGGTTAAAGGATAAGTTAACCTTTTAATAAATAATTTTTTTGCAGGTAAAAAAAAAAAAGTGTATTTATTATTTAATTTCTAGGAGCCTGCAGCACATTGCACCCGCGATCAGCAGATTGCAGGTGCAACCTTAGGCTCCTGCAGACTCTCAGCATAGCTGTCTGCTTGTACCTTGTACCTGAGAGCAGGAAGAATCAATGGACTAAGAGCGCTCACCTGCGCCCTAGTAGTTCCTTGAGAACTACAAACCATCAGCCACAACGGCCGATGGTACTTGTAGGCATTCATTCATAGGAAGCTGTAAATGAATGACGCGGCCGTGTGGGCAAAGCTTTACATGGCCGCTTTATTGTCAAAGCGTGACAGTGGGAGTGGACAGAGGATCCCCCACCTGCTGTCATAGGGAGGAGAGGTTGCTGAAAGGGGAGTTCCACTTACCTGTCTTGAAAAATAAAAGTCAGCAGCTACAAAAACTGTAGCTGCTGATTTTTAAAAAACATCCACTTACCTGTCCCTCGGTAAAAAACATCCCATGGTGTGTGTCCCCCGCAGCCCGTTTCACCGGCTGTCCTGGATTCCAGGAGGCCGGCATCTTCAGTGTGGGCACCCGGCTGTGATAGCTTGCGGCTTCTCAGCCGGGTACCCACTACGCATGCGCGAGTAGCGCTGCGCTTCATGAATGGTCCTGTAGTCTTCCGGGACCTGTCATGTGTCCCAAAAGACTACAGGAAGGGAGGACACCTTCCGTGGCGATCGGACCGGAAGTGGGAGCGGGTACCTGTCAAACTCGAGTACTCATCCCCCCCCCCCCCCCCCCGCCCCCTAAAGGTGCCAATCCTTAATGGGGAGCGGGGGAGCAGTCCTTAAAGTGGAACTTCCCCTTTTGGGTGGAGCTCCACTTCAAGTATGTTACATGTTCCATTCTAAAAACGAGTGGAACATGTAACATGTTCTGAAGCTCAACACATCCTTTACAAAGAAAGCTTCCAATGAAGTCTACTGAGAAGTTTATATTTTTGGGAGAGTTGATCTTCATTCCCCCAACCTCCGTGTTGGTGCTGAACACAGTTCTGATATCAAAGGTCGGGGAGGATCAACACTCCTGGAAATGTCTGTTTGTCAGCAGACGTCAGAGGAGGAGGCAAGTACTCCGGGTTCCATAAATGCAATTTAGGCTTTACTTGCTGCAGGATTCTAATACATAGAAAAATAGTCCGCCAGGAGTGGGAGGAACCCATCACATGACAGCAGTCTCCTCCTGTCTGCATTTTGTGAAGTGTTATGCAGAGAGCACACGGGGGGGACATCAGAAGCTTCACTCTGCACAGTATTTCCAGTGACATTCCGCGGGATATGGAGAGGGAAATTCTTTATACGTTGGCAACTTAATTTATATCTGTAAAATTAGATCGCATCAATATGGTGTACTTCACACAGCAATTTGATCTGGGCTGGATCAGAACAATTTTTAGCAATAACCCGGATCTCTGACCGCCCTCAATGTTCACTCCAAAGAAAGCACCAGCTACATAGGGAAATACTCCCTGGAGACCAAAACCAGTAGACACCAATCTTACCCGGAACACTAGATTGTCAATATGAAGCTCCTTCTCTTGCTTCATGATCTGTGTAATCAGACAAAGGATAACGTTCCTTTTCTTGTCTAGTGTGTGTCCTTCATCTTCGTCTACATTCAGGTATGTCTGCCTTGGGAGAAGCTGCAGAATCTTACCAGGACCTTGCTCAATCAACTTCTCTTCATTAAGACACAAAAGCCCTAAAAAACAATGTAAAGTTAATGCAAGGAGGAGAGGCAGAGGCTAGCACAGGGAGAGGCAGAGGCTAGCACAGGGAGAGGCAGAGGCTAGCACAGGGAGAGGCAGAGGCCAGCACAGGGAGAGGCAGAGGCTAGCACAGGGAGAGGCAGAGGCCAGCACAGGGAGAGGCAGAGGCTAGCACAGGGAGAGGCAGAGGCTAGCACAGGGAGAGGCAGAGGCCAGCACAGGGAGAGGCAGAGGCCAGCACAGGGAGAGGCAGAGGCCAGCACAGGGAGAGGCAGAGGCAGAGGCAGCACAGGGAGGGAGAGGGCACAGGGGAGCTAGGCAGAGGCCAGCACAGGGAGGGGAGAGGCAGAGGCTAGCACAGGGAGAGGCAGAGGCTAGCACAGGGAGGGGAGAGGCTAGCACAGGGAGGGGAGAGGCAGAGGCTAGCACAGGGAGGGGAGAGGCAGAAGCTAGCACAGGGAGGGGAGAGGCAGAGATGACTGGAGGAAGAAGAGACACAGAGGTGAGTGCGGGGAGAGTAAGTGCAGATGTTTAAAGCAGAAATCCAGGCAAAATTATTATTTTCCCATGCAGTTGGGTTGTGCCCGCACTGCATGGGTTAAATGCTTGTTTTTGTCTAGGGGCTCAGTAAGCAAAGATATACTTACCTAATCCGCCGATCCTCAGAGCAAGACCGGTCCCTGCCGCTCCTGCCCCCCGCACCCTGAGCCCCTGGACAAAACCAGAACTTAACCCCACTGCATGGGAAAATACAATTTTTAACCAGAGTTCTGCTTTAAAGGAGGGAGAGCAGAGGCAGAGGAGAGCACTGGGAAAGGAGAAGCAAAGGAGAGTGCAAGAACAGGAGAGGCAGAGAAGCGCAGAAGGAATAGAAAAATCAAATCAGGAGAGCCAAATATGAATGCAGGGAAAGCAGAGGCAAAGAGAACGGGGAAAGGAGAGGATGAGAATAGTGTGGAAGAGGTGGGCGCAGGAGGGGGGGGAAGGGAGGGGCAGAAGGCGGGGCAGCACAGGGGGGGAGGTGCAGAGGTGGGCGCAGCAAGAGGGAAGGAGGGCAGAGGTGGGCGCAGGAAGGGAGGGGCAGAGTGGGGCGCGGGAAGGGGCAGAGGTGGGCGCGGGGGAAGGGGGAGTGGCAGAGGTGGGCGCGGGAAAGGGAGGGGCAGAGGTGGGCGTGGGAAAGGGAGGGGCAGAGGTGGGCGTGGGAAAGGGAGGGGCAGAGGTGGGCGTGGGAAAGGGGAGGGCAGAGGTGGGCGTGGGAAAGGGAGTGGCAGAGGTGGGCATGGGAAAGGGAGTGGCAGAGGGTGGGCGTGGGAAAGGGAGTGGCAGAGGTGGGCGTGGGAAAGGGAATGGCAGAGGTGGGCGTGGGAAAGGGAGTGGCAGAGGTGGGCGTGGGAAAGGGAGTGGCAGAGGTGGGCGTGGGAAAGGGAGTGGCAGAGGTGGGCGTGGGAAAGGGAATGGCAGAGGTGGGCGTGGGAAAGGGAATGGCAGAGGTGGGCGTGGGAAAGGGAATGGCAGAGGTGGGCGTGGGAAAGGGAATGGCAGAGGTGGGCGTGGGAAAGGGAATGGCAGAGGTGGGCGTGGGAAAGGGAGTGGTAGAGGTGGGGTGGGGAAAGAGGGGCGAGGTGGGGGAAAGGGAGTGGCAGAGGTGGGCGTGGGAAAGGGAGTGGCAGAGGTGGGCGTGGGAAAGGGAGTGGCAGAGGTGGGCGTGGGAAAGGGAGTGGCAGAGGTGGGCGTGGGAAAGGGAGTGGCAGAGGTGGGCGTGGGAAAGGGAGTGGCAGAGGTGGGCGTGGGAAAGGGAGTGGCAGAGGTGGGCGTGGGAAGTGAGGAGATGTAGAGGTGAGTGCAGGCAGAAGAGACAGAGGTGTAAGTAGGTAGGAGACAGAAGACAGAATGTCTTGGACTGTACTCACCCTTTTTCTTGTGCATCAAGATGCTACCTTTGGTAGTGAGTGGTGCCAGAGCATGGGTCACTAAAGCCTCTGGCAGCTCAGTGATCTTAATAATTGTTTCCTCCAAAACTTCCTGGAAACAAAAACAAAAAAAAAAAAAAAAAAGTTTCATGCCAAATCCTAACTTACCATACACAAGAGTACAGCTAACTTCAATCCCCCCATCTCCAATGTACATTATAATGTAGCATCCTCCACCAGGATCCCCATCAAACAGCAGCATACTGCAGCATACTGCAGCATACTGTACCCCCCCCCCCCCCCCCCACATATTGTCAGCTTCTAATAGGAAAGCACAGTATATTACTTTCTACCCCAATATAGCCCCTCAGTGTGTCTCACCTCCTGGTGGTTAAACTGCAGCAATATGAACATCTGCAGGGTGGAGACCCGGAGGATCAGACTGCCATATTGCACCTCTGCGTTTCCCAACCAAGTCCACTGCAGCCGTCGTGACTGAACAATAGGAGAGGAGACTGGATTATACTGACCTGGAAAAGATCAGAACAATGAGGAAGAATAAATAATAATATATACTAACAAAAGTGTGCCCATTCTAGAATGGGAAAGGCTGGAAATATGACAAATGATAAAGAATTGATTCACTGGGTAAAATATGCAGAAGAGGAGAAGGAAGAAGACGGGGTATAGACAGTATGTGCAAGGAATGTTGAGGGTACAACAGAGGGCAGTAGGTGCAGGAGAGGCGTGCGCGTGATATTACAGAAGTGAGGCGTGCAAAGGGTTATTATGATGCTCAGTATGTGCAGGAGATGTAAAGGGTACGACAGTGGTCAGTATGTGCAGGAGAAGCGTACAGGGGATATGACAGTGGTCAGTATGTGCAGGAGAAGCGTACAGGGGGTATGACAGTGGTCAGTATGTGCAGGAGAAGCATACAGGGGGTATGACAGTGGTCAGTATGTGCAGGAGAAGCATACAGGGGGTATGACAGTGGTCAGTATGTGCAGGAGAAAAGCATACAGGGGGTATGACAGTGGTCAGTATGTGTGGGAGACGTAGGGCATGACAGTGGTCAGTATGTGCAGGAGAAAAGTGCAGGGGTATGACAGTGGTCAGTATGTGTGGGAGACGTAGGGTATGACAGTGGTCAGTATGCGCAGGAGTGAAAAGTGCAGGAGGTATGACAGAGGTCAGTATGTGTGGGAGACGTAGGGTATGACAGTGGTCAGTATGTGTGGGAGACGTAGGCTATGACAGTGATCAGTATGTGCAGGAGGTATGACAGTGGTCAGTATGTGTGGGAGACGTAGGCTAGGACAGTGGTCAGTATGTGCAGGAGGTATGACAGTGGTCAGTATGTGTGGGAGACGTAGGGTATGACAGAGGTCAGTATGTGTGGGAGACGTAGGGTATGACAGGGCCAGTATGTGTGGGAGACGTAGGGTATGACAGTGGCCAGTATGTGTGGGAGACGTAGGGTATGACAGTGGTCAGTATGTGTGGGAGACGTAGGGTATGACAGTGGTCAGTATGTGTGGGAGACGTAGGGTATGACAGTGGTCAGTATGTGCAGGAGAAAAGTGCAGGGAGTATGACAGTGGTCAGTATGTGTGGGAAACGCAGGGTATGACAGTGGTCAGTATGTGCAGGAGGTATGATAGTGGTCAGTATGTGTGTGGGAGACGTAGGGTATGACAGTGGTCAGTATGTGCAGGAGAAAAATGCAGGGGTATGACAGTGGTCAGTATGTGTGGGAAACGTAGGGTATGACAGTGGTCAGTATGTGCAGGAGGTATGACAGAGGTCAGTATGTGTGGGAAACGTAGGGTATGACAGTGGTCAGTATGTGCAGGAGAAAAGTGCAGGGGGTATGACTGTACTCTGGCAGGAAGGGGCCCCCCATACCGCAAGGGTTACATGCTTGTAAGTCTAGGGGTACAGCAATAATGAGTAATACCCACCTTATTCCTGGCTCAAGCAGGCTTTCTCCCATCCATGCAACCAGTCCAGCACTGTCACCTCTCTAAGGTGCTCGCAGCCAGTCCCATGCTCACCTCCTCCACATACACACATGGAGCGTAGGGTCACACCAAGGGCCTGCCTACAGCTCAGAGCTCCAGAGAGAAGAGGATAGCGCTGACTCTGGCCGGAGGAGGGAGTACACTAAGTGATACACAGCCTCCTCCAATACCCCTAGAAATAACAAGCATTTAACCCTTGCAATGGTGTACAAGGGTATTTTTTTATCAATTGTGGAGAGCAATTATAAAGTGAGACTAAAGTCTTTTTTTTTTTTAAATAACAAACCCCCACACATTACTTACCTGCTCTGTGAAGTGGGTTTGCACAGAGCAGCCCAGATCCTCCTCTTCTCGGGTCCCCCACTGGCGTTCCTGGCCTCTCCCTCCTGTCAGGTGTCCCCAGAGCAAGCAGCTTGCTAGGGGGCACCCGAGCAGACGCGCTCCCGAGCCGCAGCTCTGTGTGTCCATTCACACAAAAGTGCAGCTCGCCCCCCCCGCCTCCTCCCTCTCCTACTTGGCTCACTGGCTGTGATTGGTAGCAGTGGGAACCAATGGCTCCAACTGCTGTTTCAGCCAACCAGAAGTGAGTCCCCGGAGAACCGAGGATCTCGTGGACATCGATGGATCGGGATGGGGCTCAGGTAAGTGTTAGGGGGTCTGTTACAGACAGGTTTTTTACCTTCATGCTGAGAATGCATGAAGGTAAAACACCTTGAGCCTTTAGGACCACTTTAATGAGGAGTGTAGTGTGAGGAGGTATAGGGGGCAGTAAAAACTGATGGAGACACAAGCAGCCATTGTCTAACAAGAGTCCACCCTTCTCCTAAGATATAGAGAAATTCAGTCTGATTATTACAGAATCACGTGTAATTAGAACCAATCATCCTTCAACAGGAAAAAAAACTATAAGAGGCTGGGAAGAGCCAGACCTTCCCGTGTGATCACGTATTATATTCTATGGCCGGGGTACTGGAGTAAAGTTCCCAGAAGTCCGGTTAGTAGAATCATCTTCCAGCAGAGGTCCGAATCGCATGGACTGAAATCCTTCACATCACAGCACCCACACCTCCTAGGCGGTCCCATCTCTGCAGCTGGGGAACACAGGTAAAATTGCACGTTCCCAACCCACGGAGGAAACACGCCACACTTTAGCACATGCGTGCGCCAAACCACATGGTCCTGCAGCACCATGCAGCTTGATACTGCGCAATTTGAAAAAAAAAAAAAAACAAACAAAAAAAAAGGGTCAGAGACTTGTTTCCCCGCATGTCTCATGGGTAGTGCAGCCCAATAAAATGAATGGGATGACCTACCTGTGAGATCACAATCCCATCCTCACATCAGTGCCCACTGCACATCAACATCCCCCCCCCCCCCTTCACAGTAGTGTTTTCCCATAGCCCCTTGACATTAATCCCCTGAGGATAGGACCCCAATTACTGTCCTCAGCCCCCCTTCCCCATTACAGTACTCTGCTCCCCTCATTACTGTTCTCAGCCCCCCCCAATTACTGTCCCCAGCCCCCTAGTACAGTATTCAGCTCCCCCAAATTACTGTCCTCAGCCCCCCTTCCCCATTACAGTACTCTGCTCCCCTCATTACTGTCCTCAGCCCCCCTTTCCCCATTACAGTACTCTGCTCCCCTCATTACTGTTTCTCAGCCCCCCCCCCCCCCATTACTGTCCCCAGCCCCCAGTACAGTATTCAGCTCCCGCACATTACTGTCATCAGCCCCCCTCCCCCATTACAGTACTCTGCCCCCTCATTACTGTCCTCAGCCCCCCCCCCTCCATTACTGTCCTCAGCCCCCCCTTCCCCATTACAGTACTCTGCTCCCCTCATTACTGTTCTCAGCCCCCCCCTCCATTACTGTCCCCAGCCCCCTAGTACAGTATTCAGCTCCCCCAAATTACTGTCCTCAGGCCCCTCTTTATAATACTACCCCCCATACATTACTGTCCACAGCCCTCCCATTACAGTACTCAGTTCCCTCACATTACCGTCCTTAGCCCCCCCCCCCACATTACAGTACTCTGCTCCCCTCATTATTGTTCTCAGCCCCCCCCTCATTACTGTCCCCAGCCCTCCAGTACAGTAGTATTCAGCTCCCCCACATTACTGCCATCAGCCCCCTCTTTACAGTAGTACCCCCACATATTACTGTCCGCAGCCCCCCCCCCATTACAGTACTCAGTTCCCTCACATTACTCTGCCCGGCCCCCTCTTTACAGTACTCAGACCCCCCCCCCCCATTACTGTTCTCAGTTCTCTCACATTACAGTCCTTAGCCCCCCCGCCCCCTCACATTACCGTCCTTAGCCCCCCCCACCCCCTCACATTACAGTACTCCACTCCCCTCATTACTGTCCCCAGCCCCCCAGTATAGTATTCAGCTCCCCACCCCCCCCCACATTACTGTCCTCAGCCCCCTATTTACAGTACTACCTCCACATATTACTGTCCTCTCAGCCCTCCCATTACAGTACTCCGTTCCCTCACATTACCATCCTTAGACCCCCCCCCCCCCCCCCGTCCCCTGACATTACAGTACTCTGCTCCCCTCATTACTGTTCTCAGCCCCCCCCCCCCTTCCATTACTGTCCCCAGCCCCCCAGTATAGTATTCAGCTCCCCCACATTACTGTACTCAGCCTCCTCTTTACAGTTCTACCTCCACATATTACTGTCCTCAGCCCTCCCATTACAGTACTCCCATTCCCTCACGTTACCATCCTTAGCCCCCCCCCCCCCCCCGACATTACAGTACTCTGCTCCCCTCATTACTGTCCCCAGCCCCCCAGCACAGTATTCAGCTCCCACAGATAACTGTCCTCAGCCCTCCCATTACAGTACTCAGTTCCCTCACGTTACCATCCTCACCCCCCCCCCCCCATTACAGTACTCTGCTTCCCTCATTACTGTTCTCAGCCCCCCCTCCATTACTGTCCCCAGCCCCTCAGTACAGTATTCAGCTCCCCCACATTACTGTCATCATCCCCCTCTTTACAGTACTACCCCGACATATTGTGTCCGCAGCCCCCCCCCCCCCATTACAGTACTCAGTTCCCTCACATTACCGTCCACAGCCACCCCCCCCCCCCCCCCCCCACATTACAGTACTCAGCTTCATCACATTACTGTGCCCAGCCCCCTCTTTACAGTACTCAGACCCCCCCCCCCCCCATTACTGTTCTCAGCCCCACCATTACAGTACTCTCGTTTCCCCCCATATTACTGTCCTCCCCCCCCCCCCATTACTGTTCTCAGCCCCACCATTACAGTACTCCGTTCCCCCCATATTACTGTCCTCCCCCCCCCATTACTGTTCTCCAGCCCCACCATTACAGTACTCCGTTCCCCCCCCATATTACTGTCCTCCCCCCCCCTAGAACAAACATTACTGTTCTCAGCCACCATTACAGTACTCTCCGTTCCCCCCACATTACTGTCCCCCCCCCCCCCCTCACATTACTGTTCTCAGCTCACTCTCCCACATTACTCCCATTTCCCTCACACAGATGAGAGGGCAGGGGGCCCAGCAGATCTGAATGGAGGGCAGGAGCTGCAAGCTGGTGATTGGTTGCTTGGACTGACCTGCACCTTAGCAACCAATCACCTGCTTGTTTATCTGGACCAGCTCCCACCCTTCCTCCAGAACTGTCCTGCCTCCCACTGTCGGATCTGCAAAGATGACAGCGGTGACGGCTGAGAGAACAACAGGTACCCAAATGGCGCGACGACTGCGATCCGAGTGGGACAGTGATCGGGTCCGGACACGGATCGCCATTTTTAGTGATGCGTGTTGCGCGACGACTGCGATCCGAGTGCGACAGTGATCGGGTCCGGACACGGATCGCCATTTAGTGATGCGTGTTGCGCGACGACTGCGATCCGAGTGGGACAGTGATCGGGTCCGGACACGGATCGCCATTTAGTGATGCGTGTTGTATGATAACATATAGAAAACATCAACTGATGTCATAACAAGCAAGACTGTGATCATCTTTTTCTTCCCATCAGATCAAACTTGTTATCAGTTCTGGTGATTAATTCTATCGACACATAAAAATACTAAAAATACTGCGCAATAAAAGGGAGAATCAGATCAGATGCAGAATCAATAAGGCTCCAACAATGCTGAATATTAGTCCTGGGAAATCACGGTCTATTATGGTCAGGGGCGGACTGAACAACTCATGGGGCCCCCCAGCAATAGGGGATCATGGGGCCCTTGTGTCCTCACCCACACCCAAAAAAGCCTATGAAAAAGCCAATGAAAGGTGCTAGGGGCATCTCATGGGGCCCCCTACTGACCCCGGGCCCTCGGGCACTGCCCGGGTGCTCGAATGGTCAGTCCGCCCCTGATTATGAACAATGACAGGAGTAGAGAATGATATCTGGAGTCTTACTCTTCATATAGAAGTCAGTGAATTGAAGCAGACGATTGCTGAGGGATTGTGGGAAATTTCTGGAGGGATCCATCATGTAACAAAGAGCAGATATAGACCAACAACGCGGGGAGAGAACAGAGATCTGCACTTCATCTTGCCCAGTATAACCCTGGGGCTCGAAGCTTTCTTCCATCTCCTGTAAACACAAACCAGATCATTAGTGCGAGGTGCAGAGAGCGCTCCACAGGAAGACACAATAGACACCAGAGTCCTGATCAACTTACCTCTACCTACAAGACATCTACCACTTATATTACTACATTCCTTGAAGTGGTTAACCCTTACACATACCCAGTGAAGATGCCTCTACATCCATTCAAAAGTGCTAAATTTATAAAGATTGTTTGAGAGTTCAGAAAAAAGTAGGCGGAGAGCTGAAATTACACTCTGCAGAGCTCAGTGAGGAGAGCTCTGAGAGCTGATTGGAGGGAAAAGAGACACCCCCCCTCCACACAGCTCACAGAAACAGAGCTGAGGCTGACAATCACAGACTGTGAGCTGTGTGGAGGGGGTCTCTTTCTTCCCTCCAATCAGCTCTCAGATCGCTCCTCACTGAGCTCTCCCACGTCACCATTTTTCTCTTGGTGTCAGGAAAACTCATCGGAAGTGACTCATAATGATAGCAGAGGAAGGAGGCAGCAGACAGAAACGACACTTTGTGCTCTGGATTGAGACAAGTACATACTATAGAGGGATATGCCTTGTTCATATTTCATGTCTGAAGTTTACAACCACTTTCAATGCTGCATGTCCAGAGAGAAATAGGAGTGCTGCTAACGCTGACCTTCTCTCTCAAAATATTTGTTTCTTGGCTATAATTGCCTTAAAAAAGTAGACTCAATGGGGTTGATTTATTAAAACTTTAGAGTGCAAAATCTGGTGAAGCTTTACAAGGTAGCCAATCAGCTTCTAACTTCAGCTTGTTCAATTAAATCCCTCCTCGTTAAATTAAATTATAAAAGAAAAAAAAGAAAAGAAAAAAAAAAAAAAAGGAAGCGGATCGGTTTCTATGCACAGCTGCACCAAATTATGCATTCTCCAGTTTTAGTAACTCAACCACATCCCTGCTCCTCCAGAATACACTGCTACCCCCATTCATTCCCCTCTCACTATCCCTCCTCATCCACCACAATACATTTCCACCTCATCCATTCCCCTCTCACTATCCCTCCTCATCCACTAGAATACACTTCCACCTCATTCATTCCCCTCTCACTATCCCTCCAATCATCCACCACAATACACTTCCACCTCATCCATTCCCTCCTCATCCACCACAATACACTTCCACCTCATCCATTCCCCTCTCACTATCCCTCCTCATCCACCACAATACACTTCCACCTCATCCATTCCCCTCTCACTATCCCTCCTCATCCACCACAATACACTTCCACCTCATCCATTCCCTCCTCATCCACTATCACAATACATCCACCACAATACACTTCCACCTCATCCATTCCCTCCTCATCCACCACAATACACTTCCACCTCATCCATTCCCCTCTCACTATCCCTCCTCATCCACCACAATACACTTCCACCTCATCCATTCCCCTCTCACTATCCCCTCATCCACCACAATACACTTCCACCTCATCCATTCCCCTCTCACTATCCCTCCTCATCCACCACAATACACTTCCACCTCATCCATTCCCCTCTCACTATCCCTCCTCATCCACCACAATACACTTCCACCTCATCCATTCCCCTCTCACTATCCCTCCTCATCCACCACAATACACTTCCACCTCATCCATTCCCCTCTCACTATCCCCCTCCTCATCCACCACAATACACTTCCACCTCATCCATTCCCCTCTCACTATCCCTCCTCATCCACTAGAATACACTTCCACCTCATCCATTCCCCTCTCACCACCATCCCCCTCTTCCTCCTCGTCCTCCTCCTCCGATAGGACTCCATTGTCCAGATGCTGCAGCCGATAGAGATGTTCTTCTCTCTGAAGACCTTTTGCCTCCTGCAGGTTTTTCAACATTTGTTGAGGATACCGGTTTGGGAAACAAACGCCAATGTGATCCACCACAGAATGCTCCAGCCAGCACGGTCCAAGTGTGAGCAGACGGTCAGCCAGATAATGCCTGCAATGCATGATGGGAAACAGAAGACAAAGCTATAACGCTAGCAAATTCCCATCTATATAGCCTCAAACTAAACCCCATCCTCTGCATATACACACCCCCCAGTCATGCCTTCCCTATACACCCCCCCGGTCGTGCCTTCCCTATACACCCCCCCGGTCGTGCCTTCCCTATACACCCCCCCGGTCGTGCCTTCCCTATACACCCCCCCCGGTCGTGCCTTCCCTATACACCCCCCCCGGTCGTGCCTTCCCTATACATCCCCCGGTCGTGCCTTCCCTATACATCCCCCGGTCGTGCCTTCCCTATACATCCCCAGGTCGTGCCTTCCCTATACATCCCCCGGTCGTGCCTTCCCTATACATCCCCCGGTCGTGCCTTCCCTATACATCCCCCGGTCGTGCCTTCCCTATACACCCCCCGGTCGTGCCTTCCCTATACACCCCCCGGTCGTGCCTTCCCTATACACCCCCCATTGTGCCTTCCCTATACAACCCCAGTCATGCCGTTCCTATACACCCCCATTCATGCCGTTCCTATACACCCCCAGTCATGCCTTCCCTATACACCCCCAGTCATGCCTTCCCTATACATCCCCAGTCATGCCTTCCCTATACACCCCCAGTCATGCCTTCCCTATACACCCCCAGTCATGCCTTCCCTATACACCCCCAGTCATGCCGTTCCTATACACCCCCATTCATGCCGTTCCTATACACCCCCATTCATGCCTTCCCTATACACCCCCAGTCATGCCTTCCCTATACACCCCCAGTCATGCCTTCCCTATACACCCCCAGTCATGCCTTCCCTATACACCCCCAGTCATGCCTTCCCTATACACCAACGATCGCACCTCCTCCATACATACAGATTATTCATTCCCTAAATAATGTTTGAGGCACGTCATGTTTTGACTGACCTGTAAAAATGTTCAAAGGAATTGGACAGTTCGAGATCTGACAGGAAAAGAACACATTCCAGGAACTGTTGCAGCTGCTCCATTGACTGGAAATTTGAAGAATCCGAACGCATAGCAATTATCCTTTGATCAATGTACCGAGCAAACTGCTCCGTCACCTGAGAGAAATACATCAATGTGTAACCAACTATACAGAGGCAAGTGGTGCTGTACAATACACACCGGGATGGGGAGGACCGTGTACACACACCGGGATGGGGAGGACCGTGTACACACACACACGGGTGGGGAGGACCGTGTACACACACACACACGGGTGGGGAGGACCGTGTACACACACACACACGGGTGGGGAGGACCGTGTACACACACACACACGGGTGGGGAGGACCGTGTACACACACACACACACGGGTGGGGAGGACCGTGTACACACACACACACACGGGTGGGGAGGACCGTGTACACACACACACACACGGGTGGGGAGGACCGTGTACACACACACACACACACACGGGTGGGGAGGACCGTGTACACACACACACACACACACACACACACACACACACACACGGGTGGGGAGGACCGTGCGCGCGCACACACGGGTGGGGAGGACCGTGCGCGCGCGCACACACGGGTGGGGAGGACCGTGCGCGCGCGCACACACGGGTGGGGAGGACCGTGCGCGCGCACACACGGGTGGGGAGGACCGTGCGCGCACACACACGGATGGGGAGGAACGTGCACACACACGGATGGGGAGGACCGTGTACACACACACACACACGGGTGGGGAGGACCGTGTACACACACACACACGGGTGGGGAGGACCGTGTACACACACACACACACGGGTGGGGAGGACCGTGTACACACACACACACACGGGTGGGGAGGACCGTGTACACACACACACACGGGTGGGGAGGACCGTGTACACACACACACACGGGTGGGGAGGACCGTGTACACACACACACACGGGTGGGGAGGACCGTGTACACACACACACACGGGTGGGGAGGACCGTGTACACACACACACACGGGTGGGGAGGACCGTGTACACACACACACACACACACACACACACACACACGGGTGGGGAGGACCGTGCGCGCGCACACACGGGTGGGGAGGACCGTGCGCGCGCACACACGGGTGGGGAGGACCGTGCGCGCGCACACACGGGTGGGGAGGACCGTGCGCGCGCACACACGGGTGGGGAGGACCGTGCGCGCGCACACACGGGTGGGGAGGACCGTGCGCGCGCACACACGGGTGGGGAGGACCGTGCGCGCGCACACACGGATGGGGAGGAACGTGCACACACACGGATGGGGAGGAACGTGCACACACACGGATGGGGAGGAACGTGCACACACACGGATGGGGAGGAACGTGCACACACACGGATGGGGAGGAACGTGCACACACACGGATGGGGAGGAACGTGCACACACACACACGGATGGGGAGGAACGTGCACACACACACACGGATGGGGTGGAACGTGTACACACACACGGATGGGGAGGAACGAACACACACACGGATGGGGAGGAACGTGCACACACGGATGGGGAGGAACGTGCACACACGGATGGGGAGGAACGTGCACACACGGATGGGGAGGAACGTGCACACACGGATGGGGAGGAATGTGCACACACGGATGTGTGTACACGTTCCTCCCCATCCGTGTGTGTATGGGGAGGAACATGTACACACACACACACACACACACACACACGGATGGGGAGCTCTATGGGGCACACGAGCGCACACAAAAGTGTGCCATATACAGACACAGGGAGGCGCTGTACCATTTATACAGAAGGGGAGCTGTACCAAATGCAGACAGAGGGAAGCTGCACCATATACACATACTGTGGGAAGCAGCAACACATCCAGGTGGGGGAACCGTACCATATACAGGCACTGGGCAGCTCTACTATAGTAGAGTTTTCTGCCGCCCCCCATCTCCAATGCCTCTGTGCAGATAGAGGGGGGTGCTATACAAACATAGGGAGGGGGGTGGGGATGGGGACTATGGAATACTCACATGTAATGCGGTCAGGTATGAAAGCTGTAACAGGCCTTGGCAGAATCCGTGTTGTAAAGCGAGTAAAAACCTCGTTTGCTGACCAAACATCTCCTCCATGGCTCGTCTGAGAGCCATGTACATGGAACAGAAACGAGGTACCAGATCCACGTCATTCCATGATATCTCCAGAAATCGTTGCACCTAGCAGACAAACAAAATTACATCTGGACCCTCACAGATCCTCCCCCTTTTCCCAAAAGCACTGCACCTACTGAGAGCCACTTACCTGCTGCTGAACCACGCCCTGCCAGCACTGAGCCATCTCGGCTATACTTCCAATCCCACCATTGGAGGTGCTCACTGGTTCACTGGTGGCGCTGCGGTTCTTGTCATCTGTAGGAGGCGACAAGGTTAGCGAGTACAGGTCTGCTGTCTGAGCTTCTCTTCTTTTACATGGAGAAACCGCCCACCCCACCAGACCCCACATATATCATAACAACGTTCCCAGTACAGACACGGGAACCAAAGGTCCAGAAACCTGTAAATGGCGGCTGTCGGGTTGGCTCCATCTGCAGTCAAGAAGACATGGGGGGAGATTTCTTAAAACTGGAGCATGCAGAATCTGTTGCAGCTGTGCACAGTAACCAATCAGCTTCAAATTTCAGCTTGTTCAAATAGGCTTTGAGTATAATACCTGGAAGCTGATTGGTTTCTATGCAGAGCTGCATCAAATTTAGCATACTTTAGTTTTCGTAAGTCTCCCCCATGGAGTCTGGCTGGGTCTCGGAAGGACATCTGAACATGGCAGGTAGCACACTATGCGGTAACTCACTAGTTTTACTGGGTGGTTTCAGTACAGTGGTGTCAGGTGGGTTGGTGTCCACATGGACCAGGAGATGGGTCAATCTCCGCACTCGGGAATTGAAGACCGACAATCGTGACTTGGGTCGCCGGGATACTTGACTGTTCTCTAAGTAATGTGTGAGCAGCCACCCAAGGGGACTCACGCCTCCAGAATCTGCAACAGAGAAAAATGTGCCATGCCATCACCAGTCCTGGAGATATCAAACACAGGATGACTTTCCCAGTATTCCCTGTACCTGGGGTGGTAATATTCTGCACCAGGGGAGAGATCAGTGCCTCCCAGCATGTTCGGCCCAGAGCCTGAGCTGCCTCGTCATCCGGAAGAAAACGGTCTGCAAACTCCTGCTCAAGTGACAATGCCCGGTTTAGCCTACAACAAAAGACAGAGACCATCATGAGTGCAAAACCTCAATAATCCCAACAGAGATACCATCATGAGTGCAAAACCTCAATAATCCCAACAGAGATACCATCATGAGTGCAAAACCTCAATAATCCCAACAGAGATACCATCATGAGTGCAAAACCTCAATAATCCCAACAGAGATACCATCATGAGTGCAAAACCTCAACAATCCCAACACAGAGACCATTATGAGTGCAAAACCTCAACAATCCCAACACAGATCCCATCATGAGTGCAAAACCTCAACAATCCCAACAGAGATACCATCATGAGTGCAAAACCTCAATAATCCCAACACAGAGACCATCATGAGTGCAAAACCTCAACAATATGCCTCAAAAAAGATCTCTTCACCATCAGGGTGGACCCTTTCCTGATAGCGAGCAGATGTCACAGATTGTGTGGAGCAGATGTCTGGAACCTTATGGTTCAGTCACGATAACTTGCTAAAAAATATCTAAGCTTGTGTCCCATATGGATCTGTTGTTCATAGAGATACACAGAGAACTCTGGTTAAGGTCCTGGGAGGCAAATTCTGTATCCAAGAAGCACCTAACTTGCTTGATCTTTGATGGGGAGCGTCTCTTTAGAAAATGATAGGACGAGGCACAGACTGACCTTTACAGGGACCCTTGGCATCATTCTTAGCGAAAAAAAAAAAAAAAAAAAAAAAAAGGAATTTTAAACTCCCCTTAAAACTTTTTTTTTTTCTCTTTCTTTCTTTCTTTTTGGAGTCCATTTAGGAGACATAGGTCCCAGTTCTCTGTGTTTGATCTTGGGCTTGCTTTGTACAAACTGAGGCATGCTATGAAAAGGAAATGTTATCCTGGGGTGGCCTACCAATTTTTTTTTTGGTTGCCAATGTTTAATTCTCCTGTAAAACGGCAGTATAACCAAACAGGCGACCTCTTGCATCCCTCAATAGAAATCTAAAAAAGGATGTTCTGAAGAGTACAAAAAAAAAAAAATCTGTTTGGGCCACTAGTATCACTGATCATAGATCTGGGGGTCTTTGGTATAACAAACAGTTTATCTGGGGTGGGCGGGGGTCTATAGTTTTACAAGCTGTATTTATTACAGGTACTTCTATAGCGACATCAATTGATGCAGTACTACATACACACAGTCCCTAACCCTCAAGGGGTGTACAATCTAAGGTCCCTAACTTACATTCATACATACACATACTAGGGACAATTTAGACAGGAGCCAATTCACCTACCAGCATGTCTTTGGAGTGTGGGAGGAAACCGGAGTACCTGGAGGAAACCCACGCAGGCACAGGGAGAACATGCAAACTCCAGGCAGGTGGTGCCATGACTGGGATTCGAGCCAATGACCCTAGTGCTGCTAGGCGGAAGTGCTAACCATTTACCAACTGCGCTGCCCAGAATATCCAGGCATTGGGGTCTCTAGTATTGCAGACGGTATATTGGGGTGTGAGGGTCTCTAGAATTACAGACAGTATATCAATTGCGGGTGAGTCCCCTGCCAGTAATAGCATATAGCCTACAAGTGTATATCCAGTTGGTGGGTATGTAGGATAAAGGAGGCGTGGCTCACCGGCTGAAGAGCTGAAGCAGGTTCTCTTTCTTGTCACGGATCTCCTGCCCCCAGCTATGTGCTCTACTGGTGTAGAATAAGAAGGTTCTTCTACAAAGTTGTTCTTTAAACACGGGCCAGAAAGTTGGCTTGGGCCCCAGGATCTCGAGGCCCCGCACACGCGTGTCAATACCACCCTGCACACGTAAAGAGAAGCTAGGCATTAGAAATTGTACGCTCGCTGGCACACTCACTTTACTGCCACCGGTCCCACCCTGCACATGCTTTACCTGCTGACATCGCTTTATCTTGACCTGAATGACTGGCCAGAAACGGGTAATATTTTCCAGGAGAAGTACACGTCCGGCTGTGCTGGCGATGTTCATCTGGTTACAAATAACACAGTAATAATTATCACAGATGATGCAGATTCTGCTATCTTAGTAAAGATCGTACCAAACCTGGAAGATCAGATGTTTCTAAAATGGAGGGACATCCCCATGCAAAATCTTCAACATCCTAGATATCCAGTTTTCGCTGGTCTCTTGGCTGGGAGCTGGGCTCAAGAGTCCCTTGAACCTTGGCTACGCCTGAAAACTTTTCTAAGGCTTTTGTCCTTTGACTTTCAGAGGGCCTGGATGTGTCACTTACCGCGTTCAGCTCGGTGTTGACGGTCGTTGGGTTCTCTCCTCCCATCACCACCACCCGGGCTGGCATATAACTAGAATCTTCATTAGCCACAACCATCGTCAGCTGCCTGCAGGGACCACAAACCCATTCAGCATCCTGGGATGCAAAAAAAGTCTCTAAAATAGAGAAAATACCTTCCTGATTCACACTCACCGGACCGCCACTCCTCGGTGCATGTAGATGTTGATGTAATGAGTTCCAGTGCTTCCGCTCGACTCCCAGTAAGTTTTGGGGTTTCCATCTGTCAGCTTGATGGCACGGTGAGGATTGGAAGAGACTTCCATCCTCTCCCAACACTTGTCCTCCTTGACTTCCACACTAGACCCTACACACAGAAGAGGACAAGTCACTGATCCAGTAAATGGATTGATCAGTTTTAATGTCACCTACTCTTTTACTTGACACCTTTAGTAACACACATTCCATGATGGGAGAGAAAGAAACCAAATAATTCATCATGAGCTACTTCACTGTGGCATGTACACACAACATGCCTGCTTGAACAGTGGATTTCCAACTGATACACTTTACCTATAAGTTGTGTTATAGCAAACAGTCAATTTATTCAATAGATTGTAAGCTCCGAGGATCAGGGCCCTCCTATCCCTCTTGTATTGAACTGTATTGTTGCTGTATTGTCTCCAGGGGCGGACTGACCATTTGGAGACTCGGGCACTGCCCAAAGGCCCGGGGTCGGTAGGGGGCCCCATGAGATGCCCCTGGTAGCTTTTTCATAGGCTTTTTTGAGTTTGGGCAAGGACACGGGCCCCATGATCCCCTATTGCCCAGGAGCCCCATGAGTTATCAGTCCGCCCCTGATTGTCTCCCGTTATATTGTAAAGCGCTGAGCAAACTGTTGGCGCTATATAAATACTATACAAATAATAAAGGTGCAGCGCTAGGAGTAAGAGTAATATCATACAAATATCAACAGGAAAAGAGAACAGAAATTAAGAAATATACAATGTGCAAATTGGTTATCAAGAGCACATTGGGTAATATAAAATTATTGGTCAAAAATCAATATAGTGTCCAAATCACAAGAAATGTGGATATAGGAATCTTGCAGGGTCCTGTCTATCGGTGAAGATAAGTGATCCAAAGGTGAAGATAAATAAGTGGAATGCGCACTCACCAGAAGTGCGTTTAAAATACGCATGAAAGAAGTTTCCTCTATCAAAAGCGTTTGAATTATTTTTTCTAACTCTTCCAGTTCCTGATGCTGTCCAGAGCCTTTTTTCATCATGAAAAATGCATGCAAAGCGTTTTCAAGCTACTCAAATGGACAAAACACTGAACACAGGATGTTCCTACCAAGCTTGTCACACATTGTAAGGACCATTCACACCTCAGACCTCTCCCACCCTTGTAAACAAAAGATATGTTAATGAGCATTCACACCTCAGACCTCTCCCACCCTTGGAAACAAAAGATATGTTAATGACCATTCACACCTCAGACCTCTCCCACACTTGGAAACAAAAGATATGTTAATGACCATTCACACCTCAGATTCCTCATGAAGACCCCCTGCCAGGTGGCCTTAATGACTCCCCCCAACAGACACCTTTCCCTCCCTTGGAAACAAAAGAAATGTTAATGAGCAACTTACACCTAAGCTAATCTCAACACATACTTCTGTCTCTGCTTCTACTCTCTGTATTTCTCTGAAACAGTCTGAAATAGTTAATAATTTACCACTTTTCAGTGCATTCCGGGGATTTGGGAGGTTCTCTTGTGCTTTAAAAAATGCTTCTAAGTGCAAACGCGCATAAACACGTTATGCAAACGCGGCTAAACAGACTTTTTTGACCTACATTTTCCAGCAGTCAGTTTCCATCGTTCAGAAGTGTCCCGTGTACATGGGGCCTACATCTCACCCTTTTCACCACCTAACCTCTAATCCCCAACTTAACTTCTAAATCTCACCTTTTACCTTCTGCTAGCCTCTCATCCTCACCCAACACCTACATGTAACCTTTTAGGCTCCTGCTTCTCTGTAATTTCCCACATAACCCCTAGATCTAACCCTTTCCCTTCTGCTAACCTCTAACCCTCACATACACAGCGCCTTGATAAAGTATTCATACCCCTTGAAATTTTTCACATTTTGTCATGTAAAAAATTTTGAAAACCATTGATCATTTTCCTTTCACTTCACAATTATGTGCCACTTTGTGTTGATCTATCACATAAAATCCCAATAAAATACATTTACATTTCTGGTTGTAACATGACAAAATGTGGAAATTTCAAGGGGTATGAATACTTTTTCAAGGCGCTGTAACTGCTAAATCTAACTCTTTACATAATGCTAACCTCTAATCCTCACTTAAAGCGGAGTTCCACTTACCTGTCAAAAAATAAAAGTCAGCAGCTCCAAAAACTGTAGCTGCTGACTTTTAAAAAATAGCCACTTACCTGTCCCTCAGTCCCGTGGTGTGTCCCCCGCAGCCCGTTTCACCGGCCGTCCTGGATTCCAGGAGGCCAGCATCTTCAGTGTGGGCACCCGGCTGTGACAGCTTGCGGCTTCACAGCCGGGTACACACTGCGTATGCACGTGTAGCGCTGCGCTTCATGAATGGTCCTGTAGTCTTCTGGGACCTGTCCCGTGTCCCAAAAGACTACAGGGAGGACACCCTCACGTTTCCCATCACCTAGGCAATCGGACCGGAAATGGAAGCAGGTACCTGTCAAATTCGGGTACCACACTCCCGCCCCCCAAAGGTGCCAATCCTTAATGGGGAGCAGTCTTTAAATCGGAACGTCCCCTTTTGGGTGGAGCTCCGCTTTAACTCGTGATTACCTCAAATGCCTTCTGATAACCTCTAATCCCCATCAAAATCCAACAATCCTCCAACCCAACGCCTGAATCTCACCTTTCACTTTCTGCTAACCTCTAACTCATCATACAACTCCTAAATCTAACTCTTTACACCTCTTAAACTCTAATTTCACCCAATTTCTAAAACTAACCCTTCACACCTAAAACCAACCCTTGCTAACCTATGATCCCCAAATAACTTGTAAATCAAACCCTTTACATTCTGTTCACCTCTAATCCCCATCCAATTAGTAAATCTAACTATTTACATCCTGCTAACTGCTAATTCCCCACCTAACCCCTTACCTCCGGCTAACCTCTATTCCCTACTCCTAAATGTAAATCTTTCCTAATGCTTGCCACTAATCCCCACCTAACTCCTAAATCTAACCCCTTACCTCCTGCTAACCTCTAATCTCTCACCGAACGCCTAAATCTTTAATTAATGCTAACCTCTAATCCAACCTAAGAAAGCTCTTGTAACTGTCAATAGATCAAGTTATAGAAGACACAATACTAGCATCCAACAAAGCATCTACCACTTATTTCTGCACTCCCGTGACCCAGATTCAGCCAACAGAAAGCGCGATGTCAGCTGATGTCACAGAGCCGTTCCAGGCTCTTGAAGGATCTCAGCGTACTCCTGAAAGCCTGGGCCAGCCGCTCCTGTCTCCTGCACAGCCAATTACTCCAGTGAGCGCTGGAGGGTCGGAGCAGAGAGCCAATGACTGACATTCACAGCTCTCTGCTCAATGAGGACAGAGAACTGAGCGATCAACAATCATGTGGTCGCTTGGTTCTCTGTCCTAAAGCCAGTATGAGACAGCTGTAGCATCGGACCAATGTTGCATCCACATACGTGAATATGGATGCTTGTTTTTTGTAATCCTGCACTTCTCTTTTAAGAGTTCAATGTGACACTTGGAGCCAGGGAGAACTGCTCATATATCATTAAAAAAATAAATAAATATATAAAATATATAGGCAGCACAGTGGCTAAATGGTTAGCACTTCCGCCTGGCAGTACTAGGGTCGTTGGTTCGAATACCAGCCATGGCACCTCCTGCCTGGAGTTTGCATGTTCTCCCTGTGCCTGCGTGGGTTTCCTCCGGGTACTCCGGTTTCCTCCCACACGCCAAAGACATGCTGGTAGGTTAATTGGATCCTGTCTAAAATTGTCCCTAGTATGTGTATGTATGAATGTAAGTTAGGGACCTTAGATTGTACGCCCCTCGGGGGCGGGGGACTGATGTGAATGTACAATATATATGTAAAGTGCTGCGTAGATTGACGGCGCTATATAAGTAGCTGAAATAAAAATAAATATATATATGAATCTTCCTAAGGCCCGGGACAAAGACACACACACACAGTTCTGCAAGTTCTCCCACTTACAAAGATGAGAGAGGCCTGTAATTGGCATCATAGGGAGACCTCAACTATGAGAGACAAAATGAGAAAAACAAATCCAGACAATCACATTGGCTGATCTGGAAAGAATTTACTTGCAAATTATGGTGGAAAATAAGTATTTGGTCACCTACAAACAAGCAAGATTTCTGGCTCTCACAGACCTGTACCTTCTTCTTTAAGAGGCTCCTTGTTATCAGTATAAGACACCTTGTCCACAACCTCAAACAGTCACTCCAAACTCCACTATGGTGAAGACCAAAGAGCTGTCGACGGACACCAGAAACAAAATTGTAGACCTGCACCAGGCTGGGAAGACTGAATCTGCAATAGGCAAGCAGCTTGGTGTGAACAAATCAACTGTGGGAGCAATAATTAGAAAATGGAAGACATACAAGACCACTGATAATCTCCCTCGATCTGGGGCTCCACGCAAGATCTCCCCGTGGGGTTCAAAATGAT